TGAGCCACAGCACCCGCGGGGAGTACTTTTCTACCAGCTCCCACACTCGATGCGGATGGCACCGCCGCCCCACCTCGCGAGCACACACGGCGAACACTCTGAAGAGGTTTTTTCAAGGCGACTGGTTTGGTGTGATTGCTAGTTCACGCACAGATGTAGGAACAGCTGCGAAATCCGGCGTTGCTGTGCCGCCGTGGCCAGTTTTGTGTCAACGTAAGTCCGGCTATGCCTAGAAATCATCAACCAATGTGTTTTTTGATTCATACAGCATCCACCCCGAGACACGCAGGAGCAGCCGACAATATTACCACAGTACACCGATAGGGACCACCAAAAATAATACCCTGATAATATTGTGCAGTGAAGGTCATCTGGGCCTTGAGCAAGACTTCTGGCGACTGCGGGCAGCATGCAGGCCTAGCGAAGCAATTTCCAGATGCACCAAAAAAAACCGCGATAGTGGTTTGTCTCAAACTAGTCAGCCCAAACACTTTTGAGGTTCGAACTTGAACTGGCCATATCAAGATGCATGCGTGTCATGGCGGAATATCGGTGGTGTGCAATATTGGCTTCGCTTTTTCAACTCAGAAAAGGTACCTTGCTACCCCCCCTGCCTGCAGCTCTCCATTGCCTCTCGCGATCGCTTGCGCAGAATTGCCATCATTGGGCTCTCTTAAGGATTCTGGAAAGGAAATAAAGCAAAACCAACGGATTCTATGGATTCTATGGATTCTGTAGATTCTCATGGATTCTCATGGATTCTATGGATTGCAAGCAAAGGCAAAATAAGGCAAACCAACCGTACGAACATACGACAGGTATTAGCTAGTAAGGCTCTCACAAAGAACCATGGGCAAACCCGGACGAAATTACAGAGGCCACACTTTATCTCATACGCGCCATTGGGAGGGCATGTGGTTTGGCACAAATATGCGTCGCCCAAAGGCCCTCGATGTTCCGCGCCCAAGAAATCGTCGGCCTCAGGCTCTGGTAGGCCAGGCAGGCCCCTGGCAGCTCGAGACAACCAGAGTTCGCATGCAGCTCTTCGCCAAAACTGGCTGCCACGTTGCGGACCCAAAATGTAGGTTGGGGACCAGGTGCAAGTTAGCACGGGCAGTTCTCAACATGGAGCAGGCAAGTGGCGCCAATTTCAGCACCAGGCAGGCAGTTCAAACAGGTGAGCAAATGCTGAAGCTAGCCCAACCCAAACTGGAAAACACGGAGGGCCCCCCCTTCCACACGTGATGTTCCTTGTACAAAGGCCCATTTGCTAAATCCTGGAAAAAATCGTCATATTTATTTCTAGTCGTGAAATCGATTCTCTTTGAAACCAAGAGGGGAAAATGAACAATCTTCACCAAATGGAAGGTTGGCCAAGAACCCAACAAAATCTTCCTTTTGGAATATCCTCACACACACACACACCCATGCTGAACGAAATGGCAGTGGTTGTCAAAAATAGGGTAGCCCCAAAATGTGCCCTTGTAAATGGAAAGAAGGACGACTTAACCTGCGGTCCATATCAGGTGGTTGAATTTTGACCAAACCCAAATGTAACGTCGACCCCATATCAATCAACCCTACTTGACTAATAAGGGGGTGCTCCCCCCCAAAAAGTGGTCTGAATCCCCACATTTCACCCAAGGGACAACCCCTATTAATTGATTATGGGGTCAACATTCAGGAAGGGTACTTAGCAATGGGTAATAACCACGGTTATAACCTACAAGACCCATGGTAAGTCGGGTTATAACCAGACAAATCAACATGTACCTACCGAATCGATCGCCCCTTTAAGTTGGGGAGCCCAAAGGGACAACCCTGGAAACCAAACATGTTGGGGCTCCGCATCCATTTGGGTGTGTGTGTGTGTTTTTTTTTCTTTTTTTTTCCTTTTTTTTTTTTTTTTTTTTTTTTCCGGACCCCTCAAAGAGTTGATGAATTGTTCAATTTCGTGTCCCTTGAACACCTTAAGGGTACCCTCAAAAAAAGACACACCCATCTGATATAACTAGGGAATCCCATCCTTTTGGTGTCCCTTAGAACAACAACCCGAAAAGAGGGCCAACTCCAAAAAATCACTCACAGACATTCGATCAAGTCAGTGGCTTGCCACCTGGGTAAGGTAGCAAGGTTCACCTTGGTACTTGGCCGCCTCAATTTGGTGAGAAACGGGGTTGCAACATGTTACAACCCTCTTGGTATGTGATAGCACCCGGAAGCTGAAGCGATCAGCTCGCATTTCTTGGGCTACGAAACTGCGCGGATGACTCACTAAATCTAATGAATTTCCCCAAGATGGATGGGTTCACTAAATCTTTTCCGAATTTTCTCAGATGGGCTGGCGGTGGCTCACCTGGTGGTTACTCACCCCCTGAAACCCCAACCATCTCTTGGGTTGCCCACTTGCTTGTGAAATGGTCCGCCTGATGTGAAGCCACCGGAGGCCACAGCAGCCCATGCCTCGATTGGGGGGCTGTGCTGACAAAGGTGCTTATGTCGTCGGGGTGCTCAGCTTCCGAATGAATTGTGTGGGTGTTCAGCTTCTGAGATTATGTTGTTGGTTTTCAGCTTCTGAATTTAACGTTCTTTGCCAATCATCGAGTTTGAAGAAGAAAAAGAAGGCTAAGGGGCCCACCCATCTATGAAAAGCGCGGGGTCTCCAAATGTGGTCGGATTGGGACTCAAGATGGCACCGGCTTCCTTTTGGTTTTCAAAAACCCACCCCCCAAAAGGGACTCGCCTCATGAAGCCATGCACCGAATCTGGTCATGGTCCTGGTTTCCTTTCCTGGAACGTCTGCCTTGCTTGTCTAACACAATCAACCGGGCTTGTTCTTGGTCTCAGAGCGCACCATAGCTACGAATCGATCTGGGTCAGGAGAAACAAACCATGCTCAAATGACTCTTCCAGCAAGCAGCTACAAGGCCTAACAATTGCGAGACGCGGTCTGATTTCCACCATAAATCAATAAATAATAATTAAACAACAAAAACAGCCTGAAACCACAACATGATCGGTTGCGAGGTCACCACTGCTAATGACAGCCTCTAACCAAACCAAAATCAACACTAAAATCACTCAGTTGCCATTGGGGCCCTTTTGTGAAAAATAAAAACACAACCCCATTTATTTATTTTCAAGTATGGCCACGATAGTTGCTTTTGTGCCGTAGTTGTACTAGCTTTTCTTGCTTTCTGCCTTCCTGTGTCCTTTCCCCGTTGTTGAGGACTATTGCCGCTTCTTTTTCCTTTGTTGTATCGGTTTCCCAGCGTGTCCTGCTATTGCCAGTGGCTTGTCCCCTTTCCTTTCTTTGGTATCCCTGCTCTTCCCGCATTTGCTTTTGTTGTTTACGTAACTTAGCATTGCTGCCGCTTCCTGGTCTTTCTGTGTCCTTGTCCTTGGCTTTCGTCAACAGGTTCAATCGGGCCTTTGCCGTGTCGCCGCACCAGTGGCCATACACATCTCAGTTGCCGGTTGTCTCCGAACTTGACATGCCCTTTGGATAATGCTCCGACAGTTGCTGCTCAATGTCACTCAAGTATGGGTGGGTCATGGTGGGTCTCTTTTTCGGGGACCCTAGAAATGGGTCTCGTTTTCCCTTTGAGTTCCCTTTGAAGCCAAAGAAACGAGGGCCCCGAAAAAAGACACATGAGTTTCTAGATTCTAGCCTGCTCTGACTCATCGGGCCAAGCTGAGCAATCGCCAAGTGGAAAGTTGACCTCGAGCCGGCTTTGCATGATCCAGCACACGTCCACTCAACAAGTCAGCGTCAATAACAAACTTAACATATTTATCAATGGGGTGAACGTCGTCACAGATTGCACAACTTGCTCAACATAGCCAGTCTTGGCAAGAGCACCTTCCTCCTCCCTGTCAGTTGCGCCTCCCAACGCATCCTGCTGCTGCACATCCCCGCCGCAATCCAGGACGACTGGCATGCCTCATGTGGCTTGCAGTCCCTGGTCATGCTTTCTGTCTCTGCGCCTGCCTGCCTGCCTAATCTGTCTGTATTTGTCTGTCTGTCTGTGTCTCTCGCTCTCTCTCTCTCTCTCTCTCTCTATCGCGCTTCCTCTCGCTCTCTCTCCCTCCCTCTCCCTCTGGCTTTCTGTCTCTGTCAACAGAAAAGCAAACCAGAGCCAAGAGAACAAAGAAGAACACACAGCTACAACATAATTTCAGGACGGCAACTCCACACAGCAAACCAAAGCCACAGAAAAAGACCACGCCGGGAAATCCTGTCAAGACCAAAAAAAAGACAGGTCCCTTTCTCGTCTGCAAAACACGAGTAGACCACCAGTCAGCCCACATGCCTGGAGAACCCAGGAGCCCTACTCGTCAGAGGCCTTCCTCTGGGCATCCGGGCGTCGGTCCCTCCGGAAGTGCAGATCCAAGAGCCACCGCAGAGCCGCCAAAAGTAGGCCCTCCAAGGAATATGGCAATATGGGGAGATGATGGGAAACTCCCGTGGGTGGTTGTGGTTCTTTTCGCGAGAATCCCTTATGGTCTAAATTCCGATCAGGTGGTCACCAGCCCCACCAACCTCAGGTAGAAGGGTGTTTTGATATGTTCGTCTAGCAGAGCTATCCTTATCTCTTGTCACTCTCTCTCTCTCTCTATACATATATATATATATATAGTTATTTATTTATTACTTGCAAGCCTGCTCCAATCTATCTGGATACTGTCCGCACGTGCACAGGTGCACAGGACCTCGAACAAATTCGGTGCACGCGGAAAGACTGCCAATACAAGAAACTCAAACGAGACCGGACACATTACTTGTTTCCGCAAGAGGACATCGGACAATTTGGTTGTCTGCCCGCTAGTCTTGGTGGGAAAGTGTGGTTGTCCCCGTATGACCTCCGATATCAAAGGAAACAAACGGATGTCGCACCTGCTGTGGTCTTGCCGGCAACGGTGTGTCTGCTGCTGCCTGGTCGATGCCGAGGCCACCCCCCGAAAATCAGGAGCCGCACCTTATTCCTCCTCGCCTCAAAAAGCCATTGACTCCTGGTCTACCAAGGTGTGTATGACGCCCATCAAAGAACCACATCTTAGAATGGCAGCAGGGCCTGTCATATTATGTTCCTTTTACCCACGAAGTGACACCAAGACTTATGACATCGAGCCCTCATGGAGACAGACCGCGACCCCTCTGTATACATGAAGGGGATTGTCGTTCAACTGGGCTGAGCAAGCACGACTCGTTCGCGGAGGAACATGTATCCACTGCCTTAACACGTGCTCGCAGCTTGGCCGCCACATCTGCGTAGAAAAGGATCCAGAAGATGCTGTCGTGCCACTCAAAGACCTCTGACGCGTGCAAAGATCGGAACAGCCAGGAATGACTGGCCAGGCGTGACTGGAATGCGCATGTGCAGCAAACTGGCACTGAAATTCACCCGCGAACACGACCTCTCAGCGCCCACTCTCTGCGGGCATCACACCGGCCGATCTTTGAAAGGCGGCGTCCCAAGTTGATCAAGAGGCTTGGCAAGTTACGCCGCCTGCTGGTCCTTCAAAAACACACACCCAAATTTTCCTCAAAGAACCCACACTGCATGTTGCCCAGCGGCGCGGCTGGCGGAGAGGCCGCTCCAAAGGCTCTCCCTATCCTCGGACTGCGGGCGCCCAACCCGATCTGTGCACCACAAAGGCCAAGGCCTTCAACGTATATGTCTTAAGCAAGCTGGGGAACACATCCAGGAAAAACCTGAAGGCAACACCTAAAGTATTTTACAACTTACACTAAACAAAACTGAAGGACAATTCCGGGGATCTGTTTCTCAGGCCATGTATCCAGGTGCGTTGGAAAGGCCTTCGCTGCTTCGAAGTCCTCTGGGTAGCCCTTGGCACCTGGCGGCTGGGTGGTGCTCAGCTCAACATACAACTAGGTCCTCCAGCAATGTCAACCCCGGATTAAGCAGAACCCTGGTTGATTTTCGTAGTGGGGTGTCCCTTTTTAGTGGGGATTCATCGCTTTTGGAGGGAACACCCCCCCTAATAATGGAACGGGGTTACTAATCCTGGGTTAGAATACCCAGTTTTTTCTGGACGTCTCTTTTAGAGGAAGCCTCCCCACAAAAAAGGGTGAGAAATGGCAGTGGGGGACCTAGACAACTTTAAGAAGACCTTCTGAGAATATTGGCTCTGACTGAATGTCGTTCAAAATGCACGTCTCTGATCAATGTTTCATTCTCTCCAAACAGCCGACAGCCCAAACTTCTCAAAAACGGAGAGGGGGTCGCAACGTCGCCTTCCGGCCGACCAATCGCAATGTTCCTGAAGTAGTGCCATCGCTGCTTCTCTGTGACTTGCCGCAGGATGTGCGCCAGCCTGCGGGGAAAACACTCGGCAACATGTCCAGTTCCTTTCCTCGCTTGTCCGACTGTGTTCCTTTCTACAAGCCCAGCTGTGGGGGAACTTCCTCACTCTTTCCAGCAATCCTTTCCCTCAAGCCACCAACCACCCAAAAAAAAGCCGGCTGTTGAAAAGACCATGCTTGAACGGAACGAAGAACTCGACTCTTCCAGATCGGCCTGGGAATGCTGGAGGTCGGCAAGAAGATTGCGAGCTCCTTCCATGGCAGCAGCCTGTCCAAAGGTGGCTGGAAGTCGTCTGACACGATGACCGGCACACAGCCGTGGGCCATGACGTCATAGAGCCGGACGTTGTTGGTGTGCGAGGACCCTGAAAACATGGGACGGCTCGCCTGTTGGAGGCTCGGTACCTTGGTTTTAAAAGGAAAACCGCACGCCAAACCGAAGCCGTTGAAAATGACACACTCACATTTGCGTTGTTCCAAGGGACAAAACTGACGGAACATCCCCAAAAGGGCAAACGGAGTACTTACGTCTGACAATGGAGATGCATTCAGCTGCTCAATATTGCTCTAAGGGAAAATCTATACACTTCAAAACCAGTCCCCTTAAGGAAAGCCCAAGATTGTCCAAATTGTCCTGCTATTGACGCCCTGCATGCGTTCCTGGACTTCTTTTTTGGGGTCACGAAACATTCGCAATCCAAATTCAAGGCGCCCCGAAAGCGCAATGGTCCAACATAATGTGCCACTGTCGAAAGTCAGATATGTGCTAGGGACAATTAGAGTGTCTCTGGGTTTTGTGGGACATTTCGACCAAGTCCCTCCCGAATTGACCATAGACTACCGGAAGACAGCACCTCATGGGCATGCGAAAGCTGTGAAGCGAACATGCTCCATATAAATCCATAGAAACCTTAGGCTATCTTCATGGCACTAGGAACTCTGGTTAAAACAAACTATTTTTCGTGAACAACATGATAACCATCCCTAGTTTTCCCGGCTTCGCTCGGCCTCGAAGGACGAAGCAAAACCGCGCCCGCCACATGCGCTCCCGGTACTCCTCGTTGCCTGTGGCAAAGCTCGTGGACACATCCTCAGCGCGCCAAGCGCCACGCGCCACGCGCGGCTTGGCGAAGGTGGTCCTCCCCTTCAATGTCTTCGACAAACCCGAGCTGTGAGAAGTGAACAAAAAAAAGTGCTGATGCGCGCCATGGGTATATTCAAGTCTGGCACATCTCAAACTCCCCCTTTGGCCCAGTCACTTCAGGGCCTTGGCGAACCCCTGGCATCCAAAGTCACTTCTGACAATGCTGATCGCAGAAAGGCGATCAGCTTACCATTTTGTATCAAGCGCGTGTCTCTGCCAGTGCTTCAAATTGAGAGCTGCAATCAACAAATTGCTTGCACAACTTTCCAGAAATAAGAGACACTACAACTTCCTGACTTCAAAAGCCCTGTCAACTCTCCAAAACGGCTTTGTGGGCAGTTTGTCCCTCTCTTTCCAATGAACCTAAAACGGGTACGCTACCCAACGCACACACGCACACACACACACACACTCAAATGCTTGATTGCTGTTGACCCCCTCCGCAACTCTTTGGGGTCCATGGAAAATCAACCAAAAAGCTAAAGCAGCTAAACTCCAAAGATCCAACCAACAACTTTGCGTCGTCAAGAATGCATCATGTCTCTCTTTCGCCAGGGCTCGAAGCCGGGCTCGTTGGACAAAAGCGCCAAGATCCGCTCCCTCGAGTCGATCGAAACGCAGACCTGAAACCTGTGAAATGACACTTTCAAGTGCCTGGACCAAATCCGCTTCGCAGATGGATTTCGGTGGTTTGCCCTGGTATTTATAGGGTTTCATCCCTTCCAACTGGGTGCGAAGTGGATTTCGTCCATCCATAATAGGGGGGATTTTTGGAAGATTCGACAGCGGGGATGTGACCTGCAATGGAGTGATTAGTGATCCGTGTTGCGTTGGATTGCTGCAGTGCATGCAAGGTGTCGATAGCCCTCATACTTTGCTCCAGCCTGGCACAGGAGTTGGGTGAGCCAGCAAAGAATGCCAGCACAGGGCGACCTACAGGAAACGATGCGGGGATGGTCATGACTTCATGTCCACTTTAAAAACGCATCCCATCGCAACCCGTTCCCAAACATCTGCTTGCCCACTATCTCCACCCCCCTTTGTGAACAAGAGGCTCCCAGACTATCCCCTTCCTTGCCCGCTTGAAAGAAATCGCGCAAAGAAACCCCACCTCCAAACCTCCGCGACCTCGGATGCGGAGAAAAGCGCGAGGGTATGGAGATCACCGTGTCCTGCGCTCGAAAGGTTCCTTAGTTCCGATTTCCCGGCTTTCGACCTCTCAAATCACTCAGACTCTGCGACTCCGGCCAACTTGGGATGCTATGACTGTCCGGGGCAAGCTGGAACCCGCTAGAAGAGGACCCATTTAGGTTCCCTGACCAAATTCTGCCGAATCATGACTTGACCGACTTGACCCGGTCAAAGAAATCCACAAATTTGCCCAGCGGCGAGCGGGGAACATCTCGTTCGCAAACACCACGGGTGCCGTGTCCAGTTCCCAGCAGTCCACGACATCCTTTCACGTTGAATGATGCTTGCGGACGGATGCGCGGGACGGAACGAAATGCATAATGCCCTACGGCAACTGACTGGACCTGTCAACTTCCACGTTGGGAGGGAGGAGAAACCAGCTCAGCCATGCTCAACTAAGCTGCTTGCTCTTCATTGTTGCAGCCCTTGACAAGATTGCTAAGTGATCAGAAAACGGCAAAAAAGGAAGCAATGCCAAGCAGGAGTCGGAAAACCGGAGCTTTCACCCAAGGATCGTTCATCTGGCTCGTATTGAGCAGCATTCTGTTGTCAGCCATCCATGTAGGACTCCTCAGGTTCAACGACCCAAAATCAGGGACTACTCAGAAAGGAAGCGGCTCATGGGCTCATGGTTCCTTGCGTGTCCCGCTGGAACATTACCCCTCACGGAAAGGAACCAGGAAACCTTCTTACTGGCAACCAACAAATGATATTGATGATATTTGAGCCAGCCAAAGCGACCAAAGCGAGATGTGAGGCTGTTTCTCCGAACATTGTGCATCGATCCATGCCTCTTGGGGCCCTGGTGTACGTTTCGCGGCCATGTTTCGGTTGGGGTGAGAAAAACATGCACCCCTCAGTCACCCTCTTGCGGTGCTTGCGCCATCCAGCTTGCGCGCATCCATTTCCTTGCGCGAATCCGTCTCGCCAAGAAAGGCAAAGTAGCTGGCCACTTTGTCTACTCACCCAAGGCTTATCCCACTTCGGGGGACTAGGGGTCAATGACCGAACGGTTACCGCTACGACCTTAACTTGGCGAATCGAGGGGAGTTCATGGGTCTAAAGCATGCAGAGGTGACCCTGTGTGTTGGAACCAACTCCTTGAAAAACAAACAGTTGGATCAGTTCCATGGGAAATCATAGCCGCTGGTTATCGCTGGTTGCTCAAATTCAGCTTCCCCCTCATTGGTGGCTTGGTTTGCTGGTTGCCACCTTCCCCATGTTTCAATCCCAAACCAATCCAACCCACCAACTAAAGGGAAGCTGACCACCTCACTTCCTGAGTGGATGGGCCAACAAACGTCCGAACTTTTTGCTTACCACATGGCCCAAACCCGAAAAGTGACGCAAGTCCAAGAACTCGGGAAGCGAGTTGATGTCCAAGATGAACAACAATCCACGCGATCCCCTTCCCCAGTTGGCTTAAGGAGGGCTTCAAACAACCCAGCCAAGGCTCCAAGGGGAGGCTGACCTCACTGCCTGTCGTGGCTTTTGGTTTTTGGGGTTTTCGGTTTGGAGCTCCCACAAGGCTTTGGTTTGACGCCCGGCCAAGCTGCCCCGTGAGGGAGCCCACGCTCCAGCGCTGCAGCCAGGCCCCGGACCTCGGGAAGTCCTGGCGCCCCAGGTCCATGCTGAAGACCGTCCAGAAGTTCCGCCCCCCGAACCTCAGAGCGAAAAAAAGGGGAAACAAACAAATCACCTTTCCGCCTTCTGGCTGTGGATGGTTGCGAATTCCCACGAAATCGCACCACGAAAAGAAACCACGGTTGAAACCATTTGTTGGTTGGTCGCATACCTTCTGGCTCTTGTTTTGCAGCTGTGCTTTTTGTTTTCCGAACGGGGGGTCCCCGGTCGGTGGGTTTCTGGCTCTTTTTATCCGGTGTTGCTTTGTTTTTGCTTTGCTTTTGAAGGGGGGGTCCCTTCCGCCCTCTTGCTGTGGATAGTTGCGCAATCGATTTGTCACCACTTTGAAACCATGGGAAACCCGAAAAAACAAATACACCTTTCCGCCTTCTGTCTCTTTCTTGCCGGCCTTGCTTTTTGTTTTCCAAACGGGGGGTCCCCAGTTGGTTGGTTTCTTGGCTTTTGGCCGGGGTTGCTTTGTGTTTGGTTTGTGTTTGAAGGGGGGGTCCCTTCCGACCTCTTGCTATGGATGGTTGCGAAACCATTTGGCACCACTTTGAAACCATGTTGGTTTCAGGATTGGTTTGAATGATCTATGACTGGATACTGTCGTTGGATACTTTCTAACCCTCGGTTGCTTTCTGCTCCCCTGCTAAAAGTTTAAGTTTTAGTGACTTAATGGCAAACCCATTCGTTGGCAAAGAGTTAGTCCTAACATCCAAGCAAAATGCAACAAAGTGACGTGGGAAGATCAAATATGGATGGAGTGGAAGCCAAGCGAGCCATTTAACATGAGGATCTTTGTCCACCAGCCGTTCTTCAGGGTGTTCCCCACAAAGAACGTAGCCCAATCAAGTTGGCACCTGCAAGATTAGACTCCAAATGGCTTGAACCACTTTGAGGGGCCTTGCAATTCTTGGCAACAGGTTTTCCTTTTTACTTCCCAACATGAGCCCCAAAAGCAAGAGCCTCGCTTTTTTGAGGCCCAAGAGGTGATGTGTAAAACGAAAGAGGGTTGCCGGACTGTCTGTGGCATCCCACATGGTTTGCCCCGCAAGGAGCTTTGCGTGCAGGGGAGAGCGGTGTGCCCAGCGTAGCATGGGCACCAAATACTGCAGCTCAGCCCGCTCGATGGCCTATGGACTTTTCCGATTTGTTTTTGGATCATTGCGTGCGGAGAACAAAATCCTCAACGAAAATCCAAAAAAATAACAGGGGGAAAAACTAAACTAAATACCCCTCCTTTTTCCGATTTGCTTTTGTTGCTTGTACGGGGTGTGATGCGTTTTCCACTCCTTTCCAAACACTATGGCCTTGCAAAAGCTGACATTTGCTTGGCAGCCCCCCACTCAACATGAACAGAACCGAAAAGGCTAAAAACCCTCAATACATGCCGACAGCGAAGATTCTTTAGCATCGCTCTTTTCAAACGCCAGCCCTTTTCAACTCGGATTTGGTGGCTTCCCGGAAAGCGACAAGCAAACACAGCAGCACAAATGAAATTACACATGAGAAGCTGACAGCACTACCCAAAAAACCGAGACAGCCGACACCCGATACCCCTCGACTGCAAAACCCACAGGACCTTCCTCAAAACCAGCACCCTGGTAAATATTGCAAACCTCCGGCGACAAGGCGGTGGCTCTAAAAACCCGCCTGCCAATGAGTCAAGTTGTGAGTGTCCTTCAGCGCAAAGTAGAGCTGCGATACACAATGGGGGAAGTACACAAACTCTGCCTGAGTCGATAAACCGAATGCCAGCAACACGGGACAGCTCGCCACAGCTGTCCAGGCCTCATGTATGAGTATCTGCTTATTGCATATGCTGATCATTGTTGGCTGCGAGTGATGCTGACCGTGCTAGTACATGTCTACTATTTCCTGGCGACATGCCATAATTTATCTTTGCTCCTAACATGCTCAGTCCTGATATCACTCATTCAAACATCGGCTCTTCAATCGCGTATGGACAAGTGGACAAGTTGATGAGTCCCCCAGCTTTTGTGGAAAATTAAGTGCCCCCATATTCCCTCGCAAAACCAAACAAACACAAAACACACTGGCCATAGGCTGGACATTTTGACGGAACCTCAGGTGGGTCTTTCTGTCAATCAGATATGCAATAGGTATCCCCAACAGCCAACCAGAACCCCGTGCTTATTTGGGCCATGGACCCCACAGGTTTCAGCTGAAAAGACACCTCCAGGTTTCAGCAGCGGGAACCTGCGGTGCCCAGCTACATTGGGCCATGCCGGTTGCTCCAAATATGCGAAAAACTTCAGCGACCGATTGCCTGGACAGTGGGCAGCCTTTGATTCCTTCTTTGAAGGACCTTCGGCAGCCACAACTTTATCCACTCTTTGACTGCAACTCTCTAACCACAAACACTCTAGCCTGTGTCTTGACACTTGGCCGCTTTCCGATACCCACGAGCCATATTATACCTTCGCATACTTGTCGCGGTTTCGAAGATCGTTCGCTGTGCTTCTGCAAGGGCATATAACGCCTCACCAGTTGCCGTCTACTTAATCACACATCTGCAGATCTATTTCTCGGGCCTGCCTTTGTATGTCTACACTCGCCCTTTCACCGCAACAATCGGCAAAAGTGGCAACAATCGGCAAACGTGTGATGAACTATTCTGACTGATGTCTACACAGGGCTCGATAGTCTACGGATGCCACTGTGGATGGACGAAACCCTGCAACACTTTGAAATCATGGGAAACTGTGTTTGTTGGTATCTACACAATAATCATCATTCCAGGGTTTCTTTGGTGCAGGATTCGCAACCATCCACACCAAACAAGGGGTACCTAACAGAGACACACCCAAATACTGGAGTAAACCAGTTACGCGGATTTGGCCCAGCATTGCCGGTGCTTTGATTGGGCCTCTTCGGGATCCGCCAAGTACTGCAAGTTGTCGCGCAGCATCTCAATGAAGTACCACTCCATGGAGTACTGGTAGCCAGTATACCTAGGCCACTGAAACAAAACTTACATCCCATAAGGAAGATCTCTGCATAAGAGCGTGCAACATGTCGGACTGAGCCTCTTTGGACAAGGTTACCCGATGGAATGGAATCATTCAGTTTGGCCTTTCCACGCACTGGAAAAGGCAAATCGACTGCGAAGCCCAAACCCACTCAAAAGGAACCGGCATGCCAAGAAAGCTGAAATCAAGGTGGTACATGCGAATCAATCAGAAGGAAATGCGCAATATCTCGTGTTCCTCGAGACTCAGCAACCAACCCCAAACTGCACAGATCCATCTACTCAGCCTGAAAATGATCATGCCGCGGCGCTCACATTCCACGATGTCGGCAAGGCCAAAAGCGCAGTGGGGGTGCCAGCTGCCATCATCCTTGCGGGCATGTAAGAAAAAACTCATCCGGCCCTTGCTTCTCTCCACGGGCACAATCACAGCAACGGAAGATATTACTATTCCTTTTGGTAAAATAGATGGCCCTGGTAAATGGAATGAAACCAACCTACACCAGTGACATCACTTTTATTTCTAACCAAACTAACCTAAGGACACAATATGATTACCAGGGTATCAGTTCTGGCTACGCTGCTATGGGCTTTGCAGGTTGATGGGTATCGCTTTTGGGTGGCAATATGATTGGATATTCAGTATTCACATGCCAGGGGGCAATGGATAAACCTCGCGGATGAATAGGTGTGTGCCTCAGCTCTTAAACGGGACCCGTATTTCAGCTTTTTTGCAAGTGGCTTGGTAGTTCCCTCAAAAGGGGGTTCAAATCTAGATCCAAACCAAAGCACTAACTAGTGGTCACCAGCCCCCCAACTGCTTTTTCGCATGGTGCTGGTTTGCTATGCGCCAGCTGTGGGAAACCCCCCGCTTCGCCTCCCCTGGGCAGGAGGCGGTCGGCAGCTCCAGCAAAGTGAAGCGATGCAGCAAGGCCTGGCACTTGACTGATAACACACGCAGCAAGGGTTAAGTTGGAAGTTGTGAACACCCAGTGGCTGTCTTTTGTACAGGATGCCCGGACCAAACAAAATGCTGGTGTGCCTTTTTGGTTTCCCTTTCCCAAAACAAAAGAAGCAACAACAAAGAAAAAAGAAAGATAACAGACCCTAGTCAAAAACAAGCAACAAAACGTGGAAGGCCTGAGGCCAATCTTCGATTGACTCGCTGTGATCTTAGGTGAGTCGACCAAACCAACCCGGAAAACGAGTCCGCAGGCCTTCGTTGGTCGTTTCACTAGGTTTTTACAAGTGAAGCAACCAACCAGACCATGGTTTACCCCCCAATGTGCCAAACCAAGTGGCCGGGACACCCTGAAGCGGCGTGACAACATGCCGGGCACCCCCAATCTTTCACATGCCCAGCTTCTCCACTGCGAGCGCCTGGATACTCGGGGCATCCAGCGGCACAAAGAAGCCCCTCACCAGCGCCGGCGCCAGGATCCATCGCCACGGCATACCATCGGCGGATCGATCCGAGCGCCGGTTCTTCAGACCGAAACGCGACCGGGAAGCCTAGCTCCGAGCAGCACTCGTGGCCAGCCAGGTGCAAAAAATAATAGTCCAAACTGTTGAGGAATATCTGGGAAGAGGTGCGAGAAAGCCGGAAAGTGGTTTTGCCCCTTACCAGACATGCCGATCAACCTGAGCCTAACATGTCCAAGTTCCTGACACTTAAACCTAGCAGCTGCAAGGTGTATACATGCATAAACATACTTGTGGGTGTCATCTTCCGCCACCTGTGAATTTGCGGGTCATTGATGCCCTCTAAAGCTTCCAGCACCAGGTTAAACAAAAGAAGATGCATGGCTATTTTGTTTGATTGGGACCCTTGGCAAACATCATATAATGCCCCTTGAACATTACAACATGCCGAAAACAAATGTTCCCATTCCGCAGCACTCCCAACAAGCCGCTCATGATTCAAGACCACAAGTTCAAAAGCTTCTCAGGTTGCCATGCCACTGTGCATGTCAGTGCCAGAAAGGGCTCGGGCCTCAGTGTCCTTGTACTGGTTGCCTTATGACCGGAACCAATGCAGGCTTCTGAAAACAACGGCAGCAAACATGAAAAGTGAGGCCAAAGTCACAACGGCGGCAAGGTGAGAGCAAGAATCTTGACGCCACTTCAGCCATGGAATCGATGGACCAGGATTCCACGTGTGAATTCCCCTCTGACTACGTACACCACTTCAACGGGCGGATCCCACCAAAGGTTTATCGTGGGAACGTGCCCGAAGGCTCAAGCATTGCTGAGCGACAGGCGGGTCAAGCATGTTGCTGGCCGGCCTAGTCAAGCCAGACTCAAGCGCCACATCCAAGAAATGGTTGGTGAACTCACAGGGTTCCAACTGAAAGGCAACTCGCGTTAAGTTATGGGCCAACTTCAAGGCGATCTTTGGAGAGCCGAAACGGGAAATATAGAGAGCCCTGACCTGCAAACCGCCCTGGGGCAGACAAGAAATCAAGCACGTCAAAAGACAGGAATCAGAAAGTCAATGATTGAAATGTGATCCAAGCATGTTCAAGCCAAACTCGAGGTGTGATGAACAACTACAAAACGTTTAGCAACATATGGCCATGGGTCAAAATCCCGTACCCCCAGTGAACATCCCAATCCCCACTAAAATAGGGAAAATGGGTGGCGAATTCACCAACCCCAAAATGGGCTCCCATTGGCTTTGACCCACAGCCACATGCGAATGCTTAATCGACCGGTGCACCAAACATTGAAATGCAGCGGTTGCCAAGACCCTTTCCATTGGCCTTTCATCTTGCAAGTATTCATTGCGCAACATGTGGCGATGAAATGCTTCACTGAAGCTGCTGTATGGCGAAACAAACAAAGGTATGCTGGTTTTGGATGCCACTTTCAGAATTTCAGAATGCTGACAACAGCTGTGCAGCGACGTTGCGAGAGACTAGAAAACTCCGCCTATAGACCCAACTGGAAAGAAACACCAAGCCCCTCCTCAGGTCGCAGAGATGTCAGATTCAAGACCTCAGCAAAAGGGCTCGTCTTCTCGCCAAGTGACGCGGGTCGCACAGTGATACAAGGCATCGCCAGGTGTCAAAGCCCTTGTGTGTTTCTAAATGGACCCCAAAACATGGTGGGCTTCCCTTTGATGCTTCCTTCGACACCACCCGCAAAACGGGTACCAACTCTAACCCCCTCAAAGTGGTCGGCTTCACTTTGATGCTTCCTTCGACACCACCCGCAAAACGGGTACCAACTCTAACCACAAAGTGGGGTTGTCTCAAAATGAACACCCTCAAAGTGGTCGGCTTCCCTTTGATGCTTCCTTCGACACCACCTGCAAAATGGGTACCAACTCTAACCACAAAGTGGGGTTCTCTCTAAATGAACACCCCAAAGTGGTCGGCTCTTTGATGCTTCCTTTGACACCACCCGCAGAACGGGTACCAACTCCAAAAGACGCACCCAAGTGGCCATGGGTCAAAATCCAAATCGTACCCAGTGAACATCAACCAATCCCCACTAAAACAGGTCCTAAAATGGGTGGCGAATTCACCAACCAACCAAAATGGGCTCCCATTGGCTTTGACCCACAGCCAAGTCTTGGCCACCAGCTGGATGCCTCTAAGCCTCTGAGTGCTCCACAGCCGTAAGCGCCCAGGAAAGCAATGGGCACACGACCCGCCTATCGCCAAGGCTGGCCAAGGACAACTGTTGACGCATCAACAAAACCATGCCAGTGTGTCTTTTTGTAGGGGACCCCCAACATGGCCAAATGGCTTTCCACTTGGTGTTTCCCTTTCAAACCAACTCCAAAACAACATTACCCATGGGTCAAAATTGAACCACCGAACAAACAGCAAGTGCTTGTCCTTGTTTCCATTACTTTTGGGTTCCTTATTTTTGGGATCCCTATTTTTGGGATCCCACAGGTGTTCTGAAAGTGAACCACTCACTTTCGGAGGGCTTCTGTGGTCCCGTGCTTTCGGGCCATGACATGCTGTCCGCCTCTCTGCAACGGAGCCCCTCGTTGACCCGAGGTGACATTGAAGACTGGCCCCGAAAGCCGAAAGCTGTTGACTGTGTCCATTGACATCCTCACAATGCAACTTTCCCTCACTTCAAGGGACCAAAATCTGCTTCCATTTGGTTAAGACTCCTGGGAAATGTGTATTTCCAGTACTGATTCCCTTTAAAACCAACAGGGGAAAATGAAACCATATTCTTAAGCAAAAGGAAGACTAGCTGCGCGCTGCTGGCTGCTCAGCTTTCCGCCTCGGCCGCAGTGACGCCGAAGTTGCTGGCGCTGAGCACCACTGCGTCAGCGCTGGCGATGGTAAGCCACTGCCTTGGCGACGAAAGGAAGACGTGACGCGAGTCAAACGTGTTGTGCCGCCCAAGCGAAAGTTGTGTCAGCTCACAGACTTGAAGACAGAAAGCTTAAACATGCGATCTGAGCCCGCGGGCGAATTTCGATTTTTCTCTTCACATTCTCTGCGCTCCACTCTCCAAGGGTCTTGCGCCCAGGTGTCTATGAGCCCAAGCACCTGAGACGTCAAGTGACAGCTGTGTTGACACCGAAGTCACGTCGTGTCGATGTGACACGACGCAAACGCAAGTGTGAGGGCTTGAGGGAAACGACGGCATCATGACCTTTGAGCTGCGAGGTGATTCAAGTGCATGATTGCCTTGGAGTTGGGTGGCCAAGACGAAACAGAAACCACCCTAGTTGCCGTTTTGCACGTGCAGCGGTGAAATCTCACCCCAATCGCCCGGGCGCAAACTGAGTTTAGGACTGCAATGGGTAGTGGACTGCGGTCCAGGTGTATCTCAGCAAGTTGCATAAAGATTTCCTGTTGCATGCAGTGTGCCGGCAGGGCAACTACACAACCACTCATGTGTTTGCCCCCTCTGACCTCTTGTTCATGCCTGTCTGGGCTGGCAAAAACTCCAGTGAAACGAGAAATTCAAGTTGAAGAAGCTGCTCAGTTCTTTGGCAAACTGTGAAGTGCTGACCAGGATGGGTGCTGAGCATGTTCAGGGCAGGAGCGGGCGGTACGGGCATGGCGAACACAACACATGCAAACAGTATAGCAAATCGGTGCGTGTCCAAATGGGACCCCCAAAATGGGTGATTTCCTTTTGCGCGGCCTGTTTTCCCCGAAGCAAAGACACGTATAAGCATCTATCTGCCTTGTGGTATGTCGCTTCACTCTTTCCGGATTTTTTTGTTGGGCAAGCACCCCCTGACAGCAAAGGCTTCCTCAGCGGGCCACAATTGCTGCGTCCCGATGCCCGGGAAGAAATGCAAGCCTCGGATGGATCTCACCATCGTCTCATGACTTGGAACCAGTGCTCTAAAACCTCCAGGGGATTGTGGTCCCAGACAACCAAAGGAACCCTACCCTCTTCCTACTGGAAGTGGGATGGAAGTCCCCAAAAAGTTAGTCTTCTAAACCCCTGTCAGCTTCTATTGGAGGGAGGGTAGATCAACAATTCTGCCGGAATTTGGTCTAAACCACATGTGCAAAACCATCAAAATACTATCCAAATCAATTGGGTGCTCGAGCAATGGGAAACCAGGCACCGGACTTGCCCTGCTGCATGAGCTCTGCGACCCTAGGCTGCACGCATGGGACCAGCAGTGGCAATGCTGTGGCCGACTCAATGAGTAAAAGAGTCAACGCTGAACTCAAGATGCTGTTGGAAGCTTTTGGGATGTGTTGTTTTCTCCAAGAATGACGTCACTCGTGCAGGGCAAACTGCAGTGTCCTGTTATCAGTTCTCGTCTCAATTTGTAACAAAACATAGTGCTGACGAATTTGTGGGACCTTTCATGTGCCTGCTCTACTTGACAAATGTGTTACTATGTGCTGCTCCAGGACGCTACCTGAAGTCAAACGCGTCGTGTTCTCGGCACCAAAAAAAGCTGCCCTTCCTCCAACTAACATGGCACCTGTGGGGAGGTACCTGGAAGATTAAATTCCTTTTGAAGGGACCCCCTGTCAGTTGCCATGTCACGTTGCTTTCGGCTTGCAAAGCGTTGGAGTGACGAAAGTCCGACCCCTACACGTCGACCGGTCCGGGCTCCCAGCGCGGTGCCTACCTGAAGGCAACGGCTGGATGGCTCAGTCACCACATCGCCCGTTTTGTTTGGGTTGTTTTCATGGGCCCAGAAACGTCTACCATCCCAACAAATCGAGCCACCGGAATTGGTCCCTTGAAGGTCATTTTCCTGTTAAAGGGATGCAGGTGCCTTTTGGGGAGGGCAAATGGAGCATTAGACTAATTTCTAAACCAGTGCCATCCCTTCTATTTCTAACCAAACTAACCTAAGGACACATAATATGATTACGAGGGTATCAATTCTGCCTAGGCCCCTATGGGCTTTGCAGGTTGATGGGAATCGCTTTTGGGTAGTCCCCATCGTTTTCTGGTGAAACAAATATTGGTTATTCAATATTCACATGCCAGGGGGCAATGGATCAACCTCGCGGATGAATAGGTGTTTCCCTCAGCTCTTAACTGGGACCCCTACTTGCTTTGGGAGGGTACATGGTTGGATTTCTCTCGAGAAGTGCCAACCAATCTTTTTTCAGGCTGGCGGGCCCTCGAAGCCCTCAAGTCCTCAGGAGCCCCCAAAATGGCTTCGGCTTTCCACTACGTGTTCCTTTAAAACCGCCAAAACGGAGGGTACCCTCAACAAAAAAACAAACCCAGACATATGGCAAGGGCCCGGTCGGCTAGTTTTAACCCCAGCTGAACTCCGCACCGAGCGCCTCCGCTGTGTCTGCTGCCAAGTACCACGCTACGTCCTCATCCTCACGCTGGCTTGTTGCTTACGGTCTCAATGCCCTGCCCATGCTGACACGCGTGTACATGCGCCAGGGAGGTTCTCAACATAGGACTGCATGGCTGGTGTCCTAGGCGTTTCCGGTTGAATAGCAACCAAAAGGAGCTCACCATTTTTAGAAACGCCTATCTATAATTGCTGTATGTATATACGTGTACTGTATATATATATATATATATACGTATGTATGTATGTATGTCTGTCTGTCTGTCTGTCTGTCCGTCCGTCTGTCTGTCCGTCCGTGCGTCCGTCCGTCTGTGTGTATGTATGTATGTATGTATGTATGTATGTATGTATGTATGTATGTATGTATGTATGTATGTATGTATGTATGTATGTATGTATGTATGTATGTATGTATGTATGTATGTATGTATGTATGTATGTATGTATGTATGTATGTATGTATGTATGTATGTATGTATGTATGTATCAATACTCGTCTCTGGCATTTTAAGAGCAAACACCCAAAAGGCGCTTGAAGGGAAGCAGGAACAGTGGGGGTGGTGAAACTCGGCAAACCAGCGCAAAGGTAGCTGTCAAGCATCCAGGCCCTGGATAAAATATTGTGTGTATGTGTATGTTTTCAGGGTACCCGTTTCACCTTTCAAGGAAACCAAAAGGACCCACTCATCTTGTGCATCCCCTATTCTGACAACCCATTGGACCTACATTCAGCTCCTGACGCGTGCAGATTCAGCAGCGGGTCCTTCCAGCGAGCCGACTTCTGCACGGCCTGAAGCTCCAGTTCCCCAGCTCGGTCGCGGGCGAGAGATGCAGAGGACATGAAAGCTGAAGCTGGCAACAGATTTCAGCCTAAGCCTTGGGTGTGTCACCTAAGCCTTGGGGGGTGTGTCAAAAGGCCTCACTGGCAACCAAGCCAAACCCTTTGCAGCTGGAACCTGACCCGAGAGGATGTTCTCCTTGACCCGGCGAGTGACATCCAAACGACTCACTCGATTTGACTTCGTTTTGTTGGGTGTGTGTGTGTGTGGTGTGTGTGTGTGCTGTGTGTGTGTTTTCAAACAACTAGGGGAACCCCCAACATGGCTTCGGCTTTCCTTTTGGTCTCCCTTGAACACCAACACAAAAAGGGGTACCCTCCGGTCCCACAAACATGGAACCCGCCAGAGGGTCCCTTTCCAGGGACAGTAGTGTTCCAGGAACCCTTCAGTCAGGTTCCATGTTAGTGGACAGGAGTGTACCCACAAAGAAAATCCCATGAAACGGTACCGCTAAAACGGTCCGCACCTGAGCGCAGCTGAAGAAGCCCTGCAGGTCGGAGAGGCCGTGCCGGGGTGGATCCTCTCTCGCCGTGCGTGGAAGATACCCGGCTTTGCCTTTCCGACCAACATGACTAACCTCGGTTGCTTTCTGCCCCCTGCTAAAAGTGACTCACTTTTAGTGGTTCAATTTAAGGGAAAACCCATTAGTTGGCAAAAAGTTCAAGTCCTAACATGCAAGCAACATGCACCAAAGTAATGACTTGAAAAGGGAACTCTCTTGTAGCAGAAGGGACAAACGCTCGAATTGTTTGCCAGATGTGGTTGAGCAGGCGATTCTACCACCATTTGGGGGACAAGATGGGACAAAGAAGGTGGGTGCAAACATCTCAGTGCGGTGAAGCACCTCTCGCTAAGGCACGGACACTCCACCTGAAGCTGACCGAAGGTCTGAAACCGGTAGGCGGCTAGCCTATAGACATACTGTGGGTGGTTGCGAGCCATCCAGAACTCGCACCACCGTTCAGAAAGGAAATGATTTGATTCCCCTAAATACCAACAATGGTTTCAACCATGGATTCCAAGTGGTGCGAACGGACGTTGTCCACATTATCTTCTTGACAAGGACTTGCTGGCACTGACTCCCCTGCCACGCTCCCGGGAATCGCAATCCGAGAAACAAAAACAGAGAGATGACAACCAGCCAGCGGCTTTGTGACACGAAGCCTGGTACGGGAAACTTAAAGCCCTGCAAAGAACTGACAGCCTATTCCATGCCATATCCCAGGTGGTTTCCAGAAAGTATTTTTGTCACATCCATTTCTTCTTGGGCCTGTCCCTGACCTTCAAGGGCCTCGTCAGGTGTCATATGATAATGAAGGTCTGTGGGGATGTCTTTTTTGAGGGTGCCCACATTTGCTTGATTTCAATGTATAGTGTTTATTTGAATTTGCATGAACAACAACACCATGCCATCCACTGAGCTCCTTTTTTGAGACAAAACCCATTCTAGGTCCTCCAGAAGAGAGGTTAGAATAAGGGCACCAACTTTTCTCTGTAGTCTAATTTAGGGGAACAAAGCCCCCAAGGGTGAGAAAAGGCACTACTGGGGGACCTAGTATTTGTTAGGGCCGATCCCCAAACATCCAGCCACACGCCCCCCGGCCTGCCCGGGGACTGGTCCCCTGCCCTGAAGTGCACCGCCAGCAGGTGCCGTCGGCCCAGCCTCGCGGCCTCGAGACGAGCCGAAGCGGAAAACTCGGAGTCCTCGGAAAACGCTTTGGAGTTGCGCGTTTCGTGTTGTGTTTGTTCAATCACGTGTTGGAGTTCTTGGAAAACGATGTGCAGCGTGTCGCGGATTTTTCTTGGACTGGAGTCTTGTGGGGCTTTCACCCTGGTTCTTCCCCCTGGTTCTTTTTGAATCATCTTATGTTTTTAGTGCCCTTTAACATGTTTTTCGGGGGATCCACAAAAGCCAAAAAGGCGACGTGTTTGATTGGGGGGGAGAAAGGCCCTGTGCACTTTAGGGTGCCATGTTTGGGTTTTGTTTGGGAAAAGGAGAACAATTAGGGAATAAGGGAATAGGGCACAAGTCAGACAAGTCCATTAGATCAGTTCCATGACCTCAAATTTGCACCGGCTCGCTGAGGTAGCGCGGAAAGGAACGGCAAGCTGTCACCCAAGTGAATAAGCTGGCAAAAGAAGAACGAGGTCGGAGCAAGAGTCTAAGTAGAACTTGAGTGTTGATGTTTTTTTGCAAGCGAGCCAAACCCAGTCCATCAATAGCCCAAGGTAGTGCCAACCCTCCCCTCCCTTCGAAACAACCAAACAACCTTCACAACAATTCTATTTCTCACGGGACAATTATTATTTTTCAGAACTGCTTGGAGCCCTTGTTTGTTACTTCCTGGATGGCAAACTCACATTAATATGTGGCTATGCAGAAATGGTTTGTTTCGGGGAGAGAAACCACCCTGCAACACCCTGGTATGTTTGTTTGCATTCCTTTAGACCCTTTGGAATCTGCCCAGCTTGTGACCGTCGCCGAGTCAATTTTCCAGCGATAGGTCACCTTCCGGCAAAATATATGGGTTTTCCCACACAAACATGGATGGCATAACACAAATTTCCCCAGTGAAATCCATTTCCCCATCAAAAAGCCCATCAAAAAGCCCAGCGAAAGACCCGACCTCCGAAGCCACGAGCCCTTCGAAAGGGACCTCCCCGCGCCTGCAGCACCTGCGTGCTTTTTGATACAAGGAAGAGGCAAACCGCAAGGTGGAAAGGACGGTAACCTCTTCTTTAAGGGCGTGGGTCAAGAATCACCCAGAATGGCTTGCCCTGATAAATGGAAACAAAGACTAAAACCTGCGGTCAGCCTGCGGTCCCCTAGTGGTCTAATTCTGACCCATACCCACAAGAAAAAAGTGGTTGGCTGAATTCCCTTCGAGCACGGGTTTCCCTGGGAGAAGAACAACCACATGGCAGTCCTGCTTTCAAGCTAGGGCACACACCAAATCCAAGCCACGCCTCCTGGTGACGCTTGGCCAACAGCTCCGAAGGCTCGAAAAGTAGCTCCAGCATCGCCGCATGCAGGAAGGGCCTCGTCTCAGAAATTGGGGACTTCAACCCGCAAACAACACCCCTCAGTACATGACAACATTGCTAAAAACGGAAGATGTGTATTGCCATCTCATTCCCAGGTTGTTTCCATCACAGTTGAGTCATAATCAAAACCTGGTATCACAATGCTCCACCCATAACCATGTAAAGAATTGAAAAGGCAGAGATTTCCGCACCCATTTATGGCAGGGGAATTGTCCCTTACCCTCCAATTACTTTTTTTTGCGACTCATTTGTCAATGGGTCAAAATCCAAATCGTACGGGTGGTGAATTCACCAACCCCAACATGGTACCAAAACATTCTTGACAACCACAGCCATTTGCTTGTGAAGCTCAAATCAAAGGTCCAGTATATCAACGCCCGCTCTGAGCCGCCAGCAGACCCAGCAGTTCCTTTGCCATTGGGCCCAGGAGGGCCTGCGCCTGACCCGCGCAAGGGGTAGACTTTTTTCCGGCCAAACTACCCTCCCACCAATCAACATGGAACCTGACAGGGGGTCCCTTTAAAAGGAAATGGTCTCCCGGACCTCCCCTGTCGATTCCAGGTCAAGTCGTGGGAGGATATATTAACCGTTACCAGAAGGTGGACAATGGACTTCATCTGAGCTACAGGCAAAATACACGATCGATCCCCACGTCGTGGATTTTGCTTCCACGTGAGCCAACGGTTTGCGTATTCAATGACAAGGTGCGCTTTCCTTACGCATGAGCGTGTTGAGCATTCCCCCGACAAGAATTGCTTGCGTGGCCTCCTTTTCTGCGCAGCTGCAGAGGACGGCATGCATTGCGAGGGCTAGAGGACAGCCGTGCTGAGTGATCTGAGTGAGCTTGCGGGAACCTTACACGTACGCGCCGGATCCACTTGAGTTTTGCTAGATCTACTGTTTGAATTGTACTCCAAGAAATTCGGAGTGATGGAGACAAGCCACACGCAACAACCCACAAGCTGCATGGTTGCACACTTTGCCAAGGCGGGGCAGAGCTCCCGCTGCTTACGCATGTCTCCCAAAGGCTTACGCGGGAGACTTCCCATGCGACATCGCTTTGGACATGTAAAGGTGTTGTTTTTTTGGGGGTCGCTGACCTGGAAGATCGAGTCTTGGGGGGAACGCATCGCGTGAATAGACGGCCTCCCGGCTCTCCAGCACCGCTGCAGTCACTCGCTGATTGGTGTGCCTCGGATTGCAATGGAATCTGCGGTGAGCCATGGGCCATGGTCACAACTGTTCCCTTCTGAAAGCAGCGCACATGATAGACTGCTACATGTATGGCAACAATACTGTTGTCAAAACCATGTTGTTGTTTCACTGTTCTTTTCAGCTCTCGGGCTGACCTCTCCCCTTTCTAGGATTTGTGGTCTAAAATCCTTTCAGGGGTTCCACGGCAGGTGTCAAGGTGGCCAACGAGACCTCTCTCTTTGCCACCCGGCATAACCACGATCTCTTCTGCCTCCTGACCCAGGATCCACGGCAAGTCAGCCACCAAATCCTGGCGCAACGAATTTGCTCGGCAAAGGATTTGTGCGATGGGGGGAGTAGCCACAGATGGATCGGTATCCATACAAGTCTTCAAGCAACGGCAAAGGATGATTGAAAGAATTTCGAAGCCCGGATCTTGATACCATCATGCCTGATGCTTGCATGGCAGCACATGCCGCAGGCACGTTGTATCTGTCGTTGTAGTTGATCCTGGCCGATCCCTCTCATGGCCGTGGACGCTCTTACTTGATCCAGTCTTGATTGGTATCGGTGTCTGGCTGTCTTGCGAATTTGACCAAAATACTGTGCCTGCCGCCACGGCCCTTGTCCAATGGCCACCCCTCTCCTGCGTCCCACGGCGGCAACAGCCCCATGCATGCGCCAGTCGAGTAGAAACCTCGGGCTCAGGCATGCTACCCCTCGCAAACTGAAATTCGCAGCCAAGTCCGTTCTCAAGGAAGCACTTGTTCAAATCATCAAGGCGTGCTGCAAAGGTCAACCACTCGTGATGGACCAACTCCTGCTGAAGCGCCATCCCATTGACACCACAGTCACCAAAACTTCGCGCTCACTGAATGGTCGTGAACCATTCATAAATGTGCACACAGGAATTGCAGTAAGATTCTTGCGAGTACCTGCAGAAACTGCGAGTCAAGCTGGGAAATGCTCAGGAAATATAAGTCCCCAGGCCGCCTACCTCCCCCCGCCCCGAAGGGTTCCCCCCCCTTCTCCCGCATCATCTGCATCAATGGGAGAATGCTGGAAATGCTGGGAATGCTATCCAGCTGAATCTTCCCTGAACCATCCTAAGCGAACCCTAAACCCACCCTAAACTTACCCTAAACTAACCCTGCACCAACCCCAACTAACCCTAAACCAACACCAAGCCACACCCCAATCACCCAATCCCCAAGGGGGGGAAGAAGGGGGGGAAGAAGGGGGGAAGAAGGGGGGAAGAAGGGGGGGAAGAAGGGGGGGGAAGAAAGGGGGAAGAAGGGGGGAAGAAGGGGGGAGAGGGGGGAGAGGGGGGGAAGAAGGGGGGGAAGGGGGGGAAGGGGGAAGGGGAAGGGGGGGGAAGGGGGAAGGGGGAAGGGGAAGGGGGGGAAGGGGGGAAAGGGGGGAAGGGGGGGAAGAAGGGGGGAAGGGGGGGAAGAAGGGGGGGGAAGGGGGGGAAGAAGGGGGAAGGGGGAAGAAGGGAAGGGGGGGGGAAGGGGGGGGGGGGAAGGGGGAAGGGGGGGGAAGGGGGGAAGGGGGGGGGGGGAAGGGGGGGAAGGGGGGAAGGGGGGGAAGGGGGGGGAAGGGGGGAAGGGGGGGGAAGCCAGGGGCCAGTCGCTGCGAAGAATTCCCGGCGGCGGCTTCTAGTGAGTGCGACAACTCCGAACCTCGGATGAAGCCCCTGGTGGATGACAAGAGGGGTGTTCTCTCCCGCAATTGAATTCCCCCTTAAAGTGTGGATGGGGGTTCTCAAAATTATGGATTCCCTATAGGCCTACATGGACTGTAGACCCCCCGATCCATCAATTTTTCAGCAGGGGGGGAGGGAAGGGGGGGAAGGGGGGGGAAGGGGGAAGGGTCAGCACAGAGGGGGAAGGGGGAAGGGGGGCGGGGGGAAGGGGGGGAAGGGGGGGGGGGGAAGGGGGGGGGGGGGGGGGGGAAGGGGGAGGGACGGGGGAAGGGGGGGGGGAAGGGGGGAAGGGGGAAGGGGGGAAGGGGGGGAAGGGGGGGGAGGGGCCAAGGAGGGGAAGGGGGGGGTGGCTCACGGCCTGGAACATACATGCACATAAAGACAGCAAAAGCTTGTCCTCCCGACTTCCGCCATGATGGAATTGGTTCACGGAACACTGGAAGTTCTTAAGACATCCAACCAAAGGAACGAGCCCAATAGGCTTCCATCCAAGAACCCTAAGCCTCTTGCTCGGCACCCTCTAAGATGTCACCACAGCTGCCACGACCTCGCATGGAAGTCTGTTCGTTGAAAGCCACAAGCATCACTTCAAGAAAGCTGTTTCTCAAATGCGGGGCTGCATTTCCAAGATTTCCTTGGTAATATTATCCGTGCTGAGACATGTCTCGCACCTGGTATGTGAAACTCGTCATCTCTTGATCTGACTGCCCCAGCCTCCGCCTTGGATGCTGCCTATTGCACACGTAGGGAGGCAAGGCCATGGTTGTTCTGGAAGGCGAAGTACCACCCCTTGTGCATGTCCATAAATACGGTTTAGAGGAAACGTGGTTCAAGCTGTTGTGAAAAATCACTGGCATCTTTTCTATTAGCACATCCAAGGGACATTATCAGGAGTCATGAGAGAACGACTGTGCTGATAGAGGTCCAAAGTCCTAGTGTTTCGCGATGTGTTTCGCGAATTGAGAACCAAAGGCCCACTAGGCATGTCATAAAATGGAACACCCAAAATGTGCTTACACTTGGTGGTCGTCCTTTCGGCTTCCCCTCTGAAACACCAAGCTGAAAAGGGTGCCTTCCGGAAAAACACATACTCACACACACAGACATACTTGAATGAGTCGGCATGAAAACCAAGGCATCAAAGAATCAAGAAGTGGAGTTTCGGCACCGAGAAAGTCTACTGTAGACATCTTGAATGCACACAATCTCACACACACAAACACACATTGAACGCGCATGCTGAGGTGGCTGCGCCGTGGGGCAAGTAAGAGATGCATAGGGACTGGCCCTCAGAGACAACAAGCCGGTCGAGGTGGCAACCACTTGGATTCCAAAGGTTGGGGAAGACAATATTGACGCTGGATTGACACAGCCTCTGGTTGTTTGAGCCGCCTGATGCTCATGAACCTGGTTTGGAGTCCTTGAGGGTATAGGGCCAGTACAAGAATCTCATGTGAAAAAAAAGAGGCAGCCGTGGCCAGCCGCTGAGATTGATACTCGTGTGGAATTGGGCAGTGGGTATAGTAGTATAGTGTTGCCCCCGAAGCGTTCGCGGTATATCCCGCTCTAAAGTGAAAGATACCCTGTCAAGTGGGACACCTCGTATCAGACCGGAATGCCGGCAATGCCTTCGCGGGTGTCGACAACATATGAGTATGCGGCATTGTTTGTGTGTGGACAAGGTCGGACCGCGTGCCCAGATTTGCCGAGTGATACCTCTATCCCCATTGTGGCGAGCCACGTGCGGCATCAATGAAGAAGGCCCGGCGCGAAGCTACCTGCAGCGGCTTTTGGAGACTGCAGTCCCCTTGAAAAGGCGGCCTTTCCACTTCCATGATGGTTGGAAAGATGTACAGGCAGACTTGCTCGATGCACATTTGTTAGTTTGTTTTTTTTGAGGGATGATCTCTTGGAATTCCCGCTCATCGTCAGGTGCTGTGCCCACTGCAGTCTGCGATGGGCAGGCTCACTCCGAGAAACATATCCGCACAGAAGCTGTCTTTCTTCGCAACTTCCATTCTTTCCACAATCATAGAAGCGGACGCTTTGGTGACTTTTCAAGACAGGCCTCCGAAAACCCCCCTCCGCATCAATCGTTGGAAAGAGGGTGGTTACCAAAGGTGGCCTTTTGGACAAATAGATGGCCCTATGGAATAAACCCCATCAACACCAGGAATCGCCCTCTATTTTTTAAGCAAACCAACCAAAAAGGACACCTATGGCTCTTTTGGATTGCGCGTTCAAGCCGCAGCCATCAGGAAGACGCTGAGCAGGCCGTTCAAGCGATCGCCTCAGGGAGAGGCGATACCTACGGCGAAATTGGCCCTTGCTGCCTTCGTTCATCCTCCCCAAACCAATCTTTTCAAGCATCGTCCTTTTCAAAAACCGATCGCTGTTTTCTGTGGGGAAGTGTCCTCTAGAATTTTGCTCAGCATTCAGCATCCATCGAGCTTCCCAATCCTCTCGGAAGGGGCAGAGCACTTGCATAGGACCTTCCAAATCGGGGCAAGGCAAGAACACCTGAGCAGCGAGACTTTCTAACCGTCAATTGGCCTCCTACGTGGCTGACGGTATGGTCTTTGACTCCAGTCCCAAAATAAACAACTGAACCTGGGCCAGCCGAAGTATGGGTGGCCTCACTTCTGCCGTATGACTGGCTGTTTGTGCCCCAAAGAGCACAAAATTGCTCCAAAAAACATGTAAATTTGAAGATCAGTCCCTGGAAAAGGACAAGCAAAGAATCCAATGCCCGTCAATACCCATGTTCACTTGGCCATGTTCCCGTACTTCCAGTGAACATCCCAATCCCCACTAAAATAGGTTCTAAAATGAGTGGTGAATTCACCTAGCCCTAAATGGGCCCCCAAAACGGTTTTGACAACCACAGCCACTTGTGGTTTTTTTCCGTGGAGCCTGCTGGGCGCCGAGCCGTGGCCACCGCAAAAGCCCATGGCGGAACAGCGATAGATCAAGACCCGGGGCGAGGGGCCTGCCGCGTCTCAGCTCGCGGCTTCGCCTCTTCGGGTGTGTCTCAATGGATTCGGGGGACCCCCAAAATGGATTTCGGCTTCTCGGTTTTCCGGGCGTCTCCTTTAGAACCACTAGAAGAAAAACACCAACGGGCGGCAGCCTCAAAAAATGTGCTTAGAGACAAGCCTGTGCTTGATGTGCAACATCGCACCGCGTGCTATGCTCTCTGACCGGTTCTGAAACAGGACATGTTGCAACAGAGTTGCTCCGAAGACCGACCTGGTCATCAAAGTTGTTTCTGGAAAAGGAACACGTGAATCTTATCTCACAAATGGTTGGTGGACAAAACTCCCCCCTTCTTGATGTTCACCAAAGGGACATTACCCTTAACAAAAATCACACAGCCATACTGGGGATGGACGCCACTCTGAAACCATGGTTGGAACTAGTTGGAACCACAACCTCTTTTGGTATTTACAGGGGAATCGAATCAGAAACCAGCGTTTCTGAATGGTGGCTGCGATTTGTTTTTTGTCGCCACCATCAACATGACCTTTCTACCCTTTGGGATTGGACATTTTGAGCTTCGCATTTCAACTCGAGCGCATTTCCGGACCTTGGGAGCCGGTCAAAGCTTGCTGCAGGAGAAGCGCACGGGCGGAGCGGTGGAACTCCAAGTAGTCCTGCCAAGCAAACGAACCGGCCAACCCCTTGCTTGGAACATGTAAACATGTGGGTGTGAATTTCTATTGGGTCCCGGACCCGAAATGGTAGACATGATTCAGGTTATACGTCCATCACTTCTTTGGTGGCCCATGTGAATGAATTCATAGCCATTTTGTGAATCACCAATTTCAACAAACTGATTTGGTTTCCTTTTCAAGGGGCCCAGGGGCGATTTCAACTCAAAAGGCCGGCATGGCGTCTTTTTTCTTCAATCGGTGGCTGCCTGCCGCCGACCTTATGCCTCTTTGAAGGCGGAAAAGAACCCAGATCGAAGAGGAAGGTCCCGCATCAGCAAGCTCCACATTCTGTTTTACGGAGAACAGCGGCAGTTCCACGTTCGAAACAATCGGACAATTACAAGCTAGCTCTCAAAATATTTCATGTAGGTTTGAGTAGTCAGTTTTTTTGTTTTATTATTAGTATTTTTTCTTGGGTCCGGCTTGTACTGTCTGAGCTTTCCACGGTCCTTCCACATCTGTCTGCTGCCAAGGGTCCCTCGCACTGCTTGTCAAAAGCGTTGCTCCCAAAACCGTTGCCAACTCAAAAAAATGTTTTCTTTGCACAATTCACATCATTGAAAGAACATCGCACCAGCGCGGGCTGCTTCTCATGCAGTGGTCCTTTTCTTAAACATCGCGGCCAGCATCTGCCTCTTTCGCACTATTTTTCTGAGAATGCCAACTTACATCTTTCGGCAAAAGGCCACGGGGTTGCCTAAGGCATTTGGATTCAATGTTTGCTAGTGGCGGATCCAGCGCAAAAAACCTGCCATCCTGGACATATTACGACAAGAGAAAACAGGAGGACTACAGCTGAATAATCGGGGAATTCGGCTGAACGTTTTCGCAATAGAATAGGTATGAGCCCGCACACTTTGAAGCGACCTTGTGTTAGATGACCCTCAACAGCAGTCAATACTTCCGGAGGCCAAACGGAATTCCAGAGCCGTCATGCACACTTGCTGATTTTCGATGCGTGCCGTCGCGAAAAAAACAATTCACATCCAATTGGACTCGGCACTGGAAAGTCTAAAGCACTGTCACTTGTGGCAATTCGTCACGACATGCCAAACATTCAATACCCGGTACATGGCATACCCCACGTCCGTGTTGCATTACACAATGCCGTACTTCAGGAGTTTGAGCCAAATGTGTTTTTTTTGGGGCACCCCCGGCACCCAACAAAAAGACAGACCCAAATTGTTAGAAATTGCAGAGTCAACCCATAGGCCTTGAGAATGGGCACCAGCTGCGGACACGGCCTCACGACTTGCACATGTCCTGCGGATGGATGCGAAACCCAGACATCGCACCACGAAATGAACAACTAGGTCCTCCAGTAGAGGTGTTAGAATAAGGGTACCTTTTTTTCTGTAGTCTATTTCAGTGGGGGAACCCTCCCCCAAAAAAGGGGTAAAAGGGCACTACTGGGAAACCTAGACAAACAAGGGAGTGGAACCACTACGTTCGTCGGTATTTTTTGGGGGAATCCAATCATAAACCAGGGTTTCTGAATGGTGCGAGATGGATTTCGCAACTATCCACAGTATGCCCCCGGTTTCCTGCGGTGGAGCTGACTCCAGAATGGCGTCTTTGCAGCAGGGCCATGATTTGACCAACCATACTGCTTCAAGGAAAATATCAAGGCATTGAACTTCACTCTGAAAGGGTCCCAGTTGCGCTGATTAGGTTCATTCCCAAATTCCCGCCTGTCTATCATGGAAGGTCCAAGATGCTTTTCAGTTGAAATGGCCTGAGCCTCTGGCCTCTTTGGCCCCATGTGGACACGGTGGTAAGCATAGGTGTCCCTTTTGGAAAACAGATGGATTTTCCTGGAATCGCCAGGAAGCTGGTTCAACCAACCCAGGAACCCAAAAGGATACCTATTGGGGGGCTAAGCCCCTACTATTTGGAACTCAAAGACACCCCCCACACCACGGGCCCCCTGCGCCGGCCCCTCGTGAGGTGCTCGGAAGGCGACCCCGTTCGGCCGGCTCAATCGGGCCTCACAGCTGGCCACGATCGCGCCACGTGTCCATGCGTAAACAATAAAGAAAAAAGTGTATGCCCTGAGGCTCCCGATTTTGTGAAAACAATGATATGTATTTGTGCTCAGAGAGCTCGCTCTTACAGCCCAAGCAGGCATGTGCTCCAAAAGCCCCTTTTCAGGGTTCCGCGTGTTGACTGCTTCAATCACTCCTAATCAAAAAACGGAACCCTGTCGTCTTTTGCAGCTGGTGCGATTCGCAGATCCCTCAATTTGATTGCAAAAAGGGGCTATGACTTATTGATTTAATATAGGTTTACTCTCCAATCAACACGGAACCTGACCTAGGTTGCTTTCTGCTCCCCTGCTAGAAGTTTTCAACTTTTCGTTTTTTCATGGAAAACCAATTCGTTGGCAAAAAGTTAAAGTCCTAACATCCAAGCGACATGCACCAAAGTGACGTGAGAAGATCAAATATGGATGGAGTGGAAGCCAAGCGAGCCATTTAGCATGGGGATCTTTGTCCACCAGCCGTTGTTCAGGGTGTTCCCCACAAAAAAACATAGCCCAATCCAGTTGGTTGGGAGTCTACGGCACAGCGGTCCAACCCCGGCCCCGCCAATTTCGTCGAACTGGGGCTTCGAGCCATGGGCCAAGAGGAAACGCGCGCTGGGCGCAGGGCCTCCGGCCACACCTCGGGCGACCCAACATCCGGGGCAGCAGCAAGGTCAGGGGAAAAAAATAAAATTTGAGCGGTTAAGTGGCTGTGGTTTTTTCAAAAGTAGGGTAACCCCCAAATGGCTTGCCCTGGCAGGGGGAAACATGGACCAGAATCTGTGGTTCCCTGGTGGTTTGATTTTGACCTATACCCAAGTGGTTGGATTTCAATCACTCAACCACGACAAGCGAAAATGTAAAATGTGTCCCAACAACAACCATGCCAGCTGGGATGGGTAAAACCCTATGAATCGTGGGAGGTCCATCCTGCAGATGGTTGCGAAAAACTCGGAAACCGCACCACGCAAAGGAAACCATGGTGGAAATCGTATAAGGTTCTATTTGGTACAGGGGAATCGAAGCAGACACCAGGGTTTACGGAATGGTAGTGTGAAATGGATTTCGCCACCATCATTCGAGGATCCCCCGGCTGGAAGTTTGGACAGAAACCTAATACCTCGATTGGCTTTCGTCCAAAACCCCATAAGCATCCGTAATGTTGAACAACTTTGAAACACAAACTGGTTGACATGCAAATGACGAAAACCGAGAAACGTGCGAATTCCTGGCGAATGCTCTGGAGCTATGGCAATTGCCAGCACTCGGTTGCGAAATCTGCTCCCCTGCTAAAAGTTTAACTTTCAGTGGTTCAATTTAAGGGAAAACCCATTAGTTGGCAAAAAGTTCAAGTCCTAACATCCCTTGGCAAAATGCAGCAACGAAAAGAAGGGGCACCGAGCCTCAAAACAACTAGGAGGAGCCGTTCAACTCTGAGCTGGCTGGCCATCTGGCTGTGAACCCGAGCTCGCCGCGACCTGGGACTTGCTGGGCAGGTTGGCCAGGAAGCTTGCCTCAATGGAAAACCCGGCCGGTGATCGAGGGTTTCCGGAAACTCCCCTCAGAAAAAGCGGCAGACATCCTACTTTCTGTGGGGGGGAGGGCTGAAATAGGGAATTCTCTATATCAAATTGGGGGGTGGCGGTTTGGGGGTGGTGGACATCCCCTGATTTTTTCTTGCGTGGCCTTCTTATCTGATATCGTCTTCTCGGCAATCTGGATGGGTCTAGGCTGCGGATTCGCCTGTCTGAAGAGGGAGGCAGCAGCGCAACAGCTATGTTTCACACGTGCAGAGGCAAAGCTCAAACCTCCAGCCATAGGAGACAAACAACACCTTTTGCCAGTACAAATAAATAAAACAAAACTCACAAAAACATGTGTTGCAAGGTAATTTGTACCCCGGATTACTAAACCCATCGTTTCTTCTTGTCCCCTCTGTTCTGTTCAATCCTCTGCTCCCTCTGTTCCAATTGTTCTGTTCAATGTTCCCTATTTGGCCATGGGTCAAAAGCCCGCACCCCCAGTGAACATCCCAATTTGCCAATCCCCACTAAAACAGGTTCTAAAATGGGTGGTGAATTCACCTACCATTTTCCAAAATGGGGTGCCAAAACGGCTTGACAACCACAGCCATTTGATGGACTCGCCCCCAAGACGAACTCTACACCCGCGGAGCTTCTGCTTCGCTTGGCTCCCGCACCGCGGCATGCAGCCCTGCGGCATCGCCGCCCGCCCGGACCTGGAAGGCAGCCACCACCTGGCGGGTTCCAAGCGTGGACTTGGGCCGGTCGGGTTTGCTTTTTTTGTCTAGGAATCGGAGGTCCCATGGAGGGTTCAGAGGGCCTCTCATAATAACAATAACGGCTGGATTCTTGGAGGAATAAGCCTAGAAAACAAATTCAGAGGGCTTCTTAGTGGATTTTTTGTCCTAATAAAAACTAAAAACGGCAAGAACCAACACCAGGACCCCAATTGGAAACACCCGGTTGATACAAGGCCCTGGCAGCCCAAAATAGATGCCAAACATCATGTGCCTGCCGAACTCTTGCATCCCTTCAGTTTGCTCCACCTGCAGAAAATGCTGGGAGACTTGCTGAAGAAAGAATGCTGCTATGTGTCAAAATAAGCCCATGTTTTATCCCCGACAGCCCCGAACACCTTTCGGAACCCTGGCCCGCAGCTGCTCCCGAATCACTGCGGAGCCTGTGCCGAAAAATTAAACACATCTTATGAACAAACGAGGGACCAACATTTGCTAAAAGAATAAGATTTCAGTTGAAGAATGTACAAACACAGCATGCAAACAACATGCTCTCAACACTCACCGGCTGGCGCACCCGCATTCCATCTGCCGGTGGCCTCGAACGAGCAACTTCTCATACAACTCCCAAATGTGTGAGAATTCATCCATGGTGTCTGGCCTACTGCGACACATACGCACTTCTTTGAGAACGCGGGATGAGGAGAAGAGGAAGCGAGTCTGCATGCGTTGGCAAGGTGAAGTTGCCCTCGGCCCAAACTTGAGGATCATCTTTGCAGAAAAGCATACGCCCTGCGTCGCCCATATCAAGAAAGCCCCGGCACTCCCGCCAGAAAATATGTTGGACCCTGCACATCCTTGCATAGGGCTCTACAGGGAATAGTCTTTGTTCCCCAAGCTGACATACAAAGATTGTGTCGGCCGCCGGCTTGTGGTTGGGAGTTTGGGTGGGCCCATGTTCCAATAAAGCAAGACTTGTTTGCCGTACAAATAGCAAACTAGCCATCACTTCTCAGCTCCAATGATACGGTCTCCTTTTTCGAGGGCACCTCATCTCTGGGTTTCTTCTTAGCTGAACCAAAAGGATGCTCCACTCCATCTGTTTTTTTGGGGGTTTGGGGGGTTCCAACACCGGCACGAAGCACGAAGCACGGCACCGTGGGACCGCGGGACCCGCTTCCCTGGGCTCCCTGCGGTCCCGCGAGCGTCAGCGCCAGCTCCTCCGCGTTGAACAGCGCGAAGCGGCGCCACAGCAACCGCACCTCTCGAGCACCGTGCGAGGGCAACAGATTCGAAGGGTTTAGTCAACCAGACGGGTCTGTCTTCTTAGATGTGTTTATCTTATTGCATGTGTAGGTGTGTTCAACGTTATTATTTTTTATGCTATGGTACTCATATTTATTGCGGTACATATATATATATATATATGTATAATATTTGGGGGGGGGGGAGGGGGAAATGGGTCGTTCTCCTGGTGGTTTCCCTATAAAACAACTGAAATGTTTTATTTAGAACTAAACACGCACACACATACAAAACAACCACTGGGTTTAGGGTTCCTAGCATAACGGGCGACTCTCGGAAATGCCATGGTTTTGTCATCCTGGGTCCATTCATGTAATTGTTTAGGCCCTTATTTTGGGGGGCCACCTGTGCATTGACAAAGTTCCCGCCAGGCACCGGTTGGTGCTTCACGCATCCCAACCGGTGGAGGTATTTGTCCAACGAGCGTAGGGGCCCTTCAACATGGTTCCCTTCATGTGAGCAGGTCCGAAAACCATTGATCTTTGGCTATAAAAGTTTGTGGCGTACGGAGGCCTTGCTATGTATTACCCCCATGGAGTTAGGCAGTAGAACCACCTACTCAAATGCCCAAATGGGCTCTAGGATGCACAAATGCTTGTCCTTTGGTGCAAGCTGGAACTCGTTGATTAGAACCCATTGGGGTCTGTCCTTTTTTGAGGGACATGGCTTTGGATGTTTTTTTTTGGGAGAAGCCTGATGGAAGCCATCCATGGGCCTTGGGGTTGCAAAGCCTTTGAGACATGCCCATTTCGCCTGGGGCAATAACTGCTGCAGCTCGAAGCCCTGCTCCGGGTTCGGGGTCACCAACACCTCGGCTCGCGAGATGGGATTGATTCAAAGTCGCAGGAGGGGGGGCCAATGAACTGACCCAGAAGGAAACCATAAAAGGCGAGGGGGCATGTGATTTATATATATATATATATGTGTGTATAGGTTGCCCCGTTTTTGCCCAGACCCAACCAGAAGCATTTTTGGTGATGGGCAATTGTTCGGTATGCTTTGTCCAAACCCCATTTCTTCTTGATGGGAGCCTTTTTGGGGGACCATGCAGAAGCCAAGAAAGGGGTATATTCCAATCCCAAGTTATCTGACCCTCCAGTCGCCTGGGCCGTGGGCCATGTGCAATTTTGTTCGTCCCCCTGGGTCAAATTTAGTCGCGGTCCCAAGCCCAAATGGATTATAGACTATGCGTCTGTGTCTGTGTGTCTGTGTGTGTCTGTGTGTGTCTCTGTGTGTCTCTGTGTGTCTCTGTGCGTCTCTGTGTGTCTCTGTGCGTCTCTGTGTGTCTCTGTGTGTCTCTGTGTGTGTGTGTGTCTCAGTTTGTGTTTCTCTCTCTCTCTCTCTGTGTGTCTGTGTGTCTGAGTGTCTGTGTGTCTGTGTGTGTGTGCGTTGTGTGTATTTCAGGGCAAGCTCCAAATGGTGGTTTTCCTTTGTGTTTCCGTTTAGAAGAAACCACAACAAAGTTGGATTCCTTGCAAAAGACACCATCATGTGTACATACTGGAGAACCCTTCTGCTGGGCAATACACGCAATTGCAACCAGGGCCCCGTCTACCGTGTATAACCAGTGTCGCACTAGGGAAGTCTTACACCATGGCCGTGCGCCATATTATTGCGCACGTAAAGTTGAGATTTGCAACGCTGCCATATCAGGCGTGCGCTCACACTGGGCAGCCTTACTTGCCGCGGTCAAAACTTCGTGTCATTCATTCTCAGGCATCACAATCCTGGTTGCCTAGGATTCCAAGTTGCCTAAGATCCCCAGTAGATACATAAACAACCCCTAAACAAATTTGTCGGATTGGTGCCGAACTCTCTGATCCGTCACTATCCTTCCATTTGTTTTTTTGCCTCGCAAATGAGAAAGCAATTCCAGTAGCGATGGATTCCCATCAAAACCAAAAAGGGAAAACAACAAATCTTCATTTCAGCAAATGGACGTATCCCTAGCTCATCAGTCTTTCGACGGTGGATTTTTGCTTGCTTGCTGAGCCAAGGGCAAGCTTCGCTGAGGCTCCTGTCGGATGATTCGCAAGCGTTTTGGCTGCTGTCCGATGCCTTAGACAGGGCCCGTTTTGAGTCTTCCAGAACCCTCCCGAGAAAACTTCCCTCACAAGCTGATTGGAGGCGGTGGCGCCAATCAAAAATCCAATCTTCGAATGGATTTGCGAGAAGTTGTTCGCTCAAAAAATGGAACGCGGCGCTGGCGTCACGCTTGAGGCGTCGCCTTGCACGATCTTCTCCAGTAGAGGCTTCAGAGCTGCAACCTTGTGCCAACAGGTGCTCGTGGCATGCTCTCTAGGCCCCCATTGGTTGGTTATAAAGGGAGGGGGGGAATTTCAACCCTGACAAGTCACAAGACCCTCACAAAATGCTAGCTTTATCACCCGGACCAAACTGCTGCCAAAGATGCAGTGAACAAACTGCTTGCATTCCAAAACATAGGGCCGCCGGGCATGCTCTTGCAGCGCCGCCTTGCCTACAGCCAGCGGCTCGTGGCGAAAATGCGATGCAACGAATCAAAGTTGATCCAATTTGGATGATGAAGCTCAGCTGCCTAGGAAAATAATTCAATAATGGCGGCTATATTAACCCCCTTTGATTTAACGGCGCCTTGAACCCCGGGAAGGTGTTTTTGCAACCAATTCAGCTGTCCGGAGCCTCGCCCAAGCACACAAACAACCAATAGCCGAGCACGCCGCTTAAGGTCGCTTTGTCGTTCGCGAAATCGAAACCTCAAGATGTGGCAACCATCCAGCTGTCAGTCGTCAGCCAATGCACGCACTATCAGCTTGACCTCTACATTTTGGACTGCCATCATGGGTAGCTGACAGTCAAACCCACAAACAACTATTTACACCAGTATAGACCCCAGACTGCCCCTTGCCCGACCGGCTGGGCCCACGGCGCAAGTTGGTGCCAGGGTTCGGCATCGCCACCAGGAGTGTCATCTAAGGCGGATGGATCCGTGAGGTCGAGCTGCCGAATCCTCTAGATGGTACCTTCCCTTTCCATTCTTTCCAGGGATCCTTCTTTTCAGGAAACCATCAAAAACCAAGGGGAGACAGCCGGTTTTTGAATAGAACGATGGTTGAAAAGAATGGAACAGGAATCAACCCCTAGAAATCCCAGAGTTTGCGTTTCGATGATCCAACTCTCCCAACTCTCCTCAGTCCCAGCCGAGCAGAGCGGCTAGCATTCAAAAAAATGCGGGTGACGAGCGACTGCGGGCCTGCGCTGCTGCCCCTCGATCCTCCCAACTGTGACCTCCGGTCAGGTGTGCAGGTTCATCACTTCACACGGTTCTCTATATTGAGACAAAAAGGCCCGAAACCACAGAGCCTCCGGACAATTGGTGTTGAGAGGCAGCGCGAAGTGAAATAAGTGACATGGGACCTTGGGGCCGGGGGTCAAGAGCCCTCCATATCTTTTATGCATACCCCTTTCTAACCTTGAAGCACCCCCCCAAAAAATAAATAAATAAATACATAAATAAAAAAAAAAACAAAAAAAAACATACTACTACTACTACTACTACTACTACTACTACTACTACTACTACTACTATAATAATAATAATAATAATAAAAATAATAATCCAGCCTCTGAGTTCCGGCGACAGCTGCGTGTACTGCATGACGTCTGGAAGACCCTCAGACCAGCAAGCGCTCAAAAACGTTCAGCCAGCTACCAAAACTCTCAGCTCATCCGCTTCCCAGAGAAAAAAAACGAGATAATTTGCCCAACCCAAAAGAAAAGTGCCAGACCCAGAGAAGACCTGCTTAGTTCGAACCACTTTGGGCCATGTGGAACCCTATGTTCCAAGAAGCGAAGGTGTCACCTCTTTCGCTTCCCTGCAATGTGTGAACTGCACGCTTGACTTGTCAGCGAACAAAGCAACAGGCCATGTGCCGTCTCAGCTTTTCTGGAGAATACTGGCTTGATGGGAACACCACCATTCTTAACAAATGTTCCATGAAGGAGACGACGTTGCAACGGTAAAGGGAGAAGGCCACAAGCCCTTGGGCAAGGCGCGGTGGGTGCCTTTTGACGGACGTTGAGAGTCGGAGAAGCTTCTTGTGGCATGCGAGAAGACCCGAAGGACGTTCACTTATGCACAGCATCTGGTTCTCAGGTCAAAAGCAAGTAAGAGAACTGCACGAACTGCATGTAAATGTGTGCTTCCGGGATTCTGTTCTGCGTGCACCGCAAACCATGTCCGATGGTGTCTTGCACTGTTACGCACCTGCTCAACACTGCTCAGCACTGCACACCAAATCATATATGCACGCCCCTCAGAACTGCGCACACGTGTGACCTGGCATATTGATTTCGCATTGTTTGGCAATCGCGAAATGAAAGGGTGCAAGCCAGTGCTGGGATCGTGGTCAGACCTGCAAGACAAAGGCACCAAACCTCAGCCGAAAAAAACTTACACATGTTTGTTCGGAAAGCATCTCTCCAATCCCCCAATCGCGAAGGAAAAGGCTGCTTTACGGCACATGCGCTGGGCAGTCCCGGCACAAAGCAGCAAAGAGGCTGCGCTTTCCGGCTGCAGGGCCTAAGTGCGACACATCACAAAGGCCATCTGAGCGCTCCAAGATTCCAATGGCTCAGCGGGTAAAGAAAACAAATTCTCAAAGACTCCATGTCCAAGGTTCCCTGAGAAAGGAATACGCGTCTGCCACGGAAAGGGAACATGTTGCCGCTCGTGTTCACTCATATCATTCAATTCGAGTATCATTCAGCACAAACAAACAAAAAACAAACAAACAATAAACAAACAGACACACAAACAGACAAACAACCAAACAAACAGACAAACAACAAACAAACAAACAAACAGACAAACAAACAAACACATCCTTGCCCGTGCAAACGCGTAAAATGTCTCTAACCCTTTCCGATCCTTGCGGATCGAATCCTTCCGGCCCCCGACATGCTGGAAGCTCAGCATGAGGCCAGTGACCTGAAGATCTGCCTCTAAGGGTTTGTGTATTACGCCCTGGGATTACGCCCTTGGGAAATGACCCAACATGGTTCAACATACCACGGCTTTATCCGGAAATATGCCCAAACGGGTCATTTCCCAGTGGATGTATTCCCAGGGTGTAGTACACAAACCCTTAGACTGCCGTGATTGAAGCAGAAGATGGGGGTGTGTCAACAATAGAGGACCCCGAGACAGGAATTGTCCCGTTGGTCCACTTTGAACAACAAAAAAGGGTACCCTCAAAAAAGACAGCCCCATATCCTCAACCAAAAGGTAAACAGGTCAAAAACGGCTTCTGGGAAGACCATATCGCACTACACGAAACCCCCTGGCAAGGCCCATACAGAACGATGGAGCTGTCATGCTGGACTCGAGGCAAACGCACACACGAATCTTCAAGCCTCTGCCATGATGCTCTCTGCCAACCTGCGCAGCCACGGGTTCCCAAGGCGCAAACTGCACCCGCGAAATCAGCTTGTTGACATCTACAGCTGCCAATCAGCTGGTTTACTGGGAACCTGGCGGAAACTCTGGTGGGTCATAATCAAAACCCAGTACAAAAATGATTAACCCAGAACCATGTAAAGAACTAGAAAGGCGGCCGCAACTAATTTCTGGCTGGGAAAGATTTCCCTTACTAGCCTTCACTTACCCGGGATTTGAGCACGTGACTCTGGTGGGTTTTCTCGGCCCAGTTCAGCGCATGAACCTGAGTCCAGAGCTCCGTGGAGAGCGCCTCAGGCGCTTCGAGCTGCGGCCTTTCTGGGGTTTGGTGGTCGCCTTGGATTCAAGGGAAACCACGGGGAAACCAATCGAACTGGCTTCGAATCCCGAGACAAACCGGAATACGTGCCAGCAATTGTTGGGTTCAAATCATCCGACAAAAAAGACATAGCTGACATCATATGAGATGCAGATTCGGGTGTCGGGCAACATGGCGACACCGACAGGACATCCCTTTCCGCTTTCCAAGCGCCAAGCCAGCAGCCCATCGATGTATCGTTCCCAGGTCTCTTGGAAGCCTCACGAAATCACGGCACGCCGGCCACGTCCCATCCGACGAGTGCATCTCTCCGAAGCATGGGAAGCAACCCGGGCAAACAAGCCATGCTTGTCAACATGGGTGCCTAGGTCATCGGTTTCAACCAGATCTCGGAGCTGGTTGCGTAAAAAACATAGCTTGTCCAAGCCTCATCTTTGATGAAAGGGAGAAACGTCGCAACCAAAAAATGGGTTCCATACTCGACGGGAAGCCTTCAACCCTCACCCTCGGAGCCTCCTAGGCCACCCTGGTGGTGCCAGGGTCGAATGACCACCATGTGCCTCACTTCGAGCATTTCCAGCTCCGGCTCGAAACGCACATCAAAACGGATCCGATCTCGCGGAGTTGTGTAGAACGTCTTCCCCGTGCTGCATCGCCATATGGCTGTGGGTCGAAACCCTGTCCCCTAGTGAACATCAAAACAGGTGGTACATGGGTGTTCATCCGCCCCAAAAATGGAGGCATAGGTTCTGACCCATGGCCATATGGGTGCTCTTTCAGGCCAGACCCCCCACACAACAAAATAAACAAAACACCATGTGGTGTTCCCTAAAAAAAAAGGCAGGACCAATTCAAAAAAAACACACACTCCCATATTATCCAGTTCCTTGCAAGTGTGGAACACGCCTTGGAGCCAGACCTTGAAACGTAGGAGCGTTTCCTCCGGATACACTCGGGCAATAAAATCGAAGGTCCAGTCCCCAAGACTTTGGAGTCTGATCTCGCTCAGCCGAACTGAACAAGTCCACGCGCATCCGAATTGATTGCGAGCGCAAGATCAGACATCATGATATTGCAGCACGGATGAGGTCAATAGCATTCGATCTTGATGCCTCTGCCAGAAACTTTGCGCAAGCTGGGGGGCGGAATCACCTCCCGCAAGCTTTGGTTGTAGTCATTGCCAAACGTCAGGCACTGCAAGCTGGTGGGCAAGGTCACTCCTTGCAGGGGCTGGTTAAACTGCTTGCCGAAGGTCAAATGCTGCAAGCTGCTTGGCAAAGTCACTCCTTTTAATGGTCGGTTGAACCGCTTGCCAAATGTCAGGTTTTGCAAGCCGCAGGGAAGAATAGCTCCCTCCAGGGATTGGTTAAATTCGTCGCCAAAGGTCAGGCTCTGCAAGGAACCGGGTAAAGCCACTCCGCGCAGGCTCGCATTGAAATCCTCGCCAAACTTGATGCTTCGCAAGCTGCCGGGCAGACTCACTTCCGCCAAGCTTTGGTCGAACCTGTCGCCGAAAACCAGGCTCTGCAAGCTGATGGGTAGGATTACTCCACTCAAGCTTTCATTGAAGTCGTCGCCAAACGTCAAGCTGAGCACGGAGCTAGGAAAAGTCACTCCGTGGAGGCGTTGGTCAAAATCACAGCCAAAAGTCAAACACTGCAAGCTGTCGGGCAAGGTTACTCCTTCCAAGTGCTGGTTAAATCGATTTCCAAAGGTCAGACTGCACAAGCTGCTTGGCAGAGTCACTCCTTGCAAGCTTTGGTTGAATTCATTGCCAAGCGTTAGAATTTGCAAGCTCTTCGGCAAAGTCACTCCTTCTAAGGATTGATCAAAGTCCTCGCCGAAGGTCAGGCTCTGCAAGCTGGGCAAGTTCACTCCTTGTAAGCTTTGGTTGAAGCTATAGCCAAAAGTCAGGCACTGCAGGCTGGCAGGCAGTGTTACTCCCTGTAAGCTTTGATTGAAGCTGTCACCAAAAGCAAGGCTCTGAAAGCTTCCAGAAAGAGTCTTTCCCGCTAAGCATTCATCAAAGTCATCTCCAAATGTCAGACTCTGTAATGCGCTGGGCAAAGGCAGTCCCTGCAGGCTTTGGACAAAGTCGTTGCATGTCAAGTGCTGCAAGCAGCTGGGCAGACTCACTCCCTGCATGCTTTGGTGGAAATGCTCGCCAAACGTCAGGCTCTGCAAGCTGCTGGGTAGCATCACTCCGTCTAAGCTTTGGTTAAAGTCCTTGCCAAACGACAGGCTTTGCAATGTGCTTGGCAAAATCACTCCTGCCAAGCTTTGGTTGAAGAACCCGCCAAACGCAAGGCACTGCAAAGTGCTGGGGAAAGTCACTCCCTGCATGCTTTGGTTGAACCGACTGCCAAATGTCAGCCGCTGCAAGCTGTTTGGAAAGCACACACCCTGCAAGGGTTGATTAAATCGGTCGCCAAATGTGATGCTTGTAATGCTGTTGGGCAGACTCACGTCCTGCAACTTTTGGTTGAAGTCACTGTCAAAGGTCAGAGTCTGCAAGCCTCCAGGCAGACTCACTCCCTGTAAGCTCTGGTTAAAATGTTCGTCAAAGGTCAGGCTTTCCAAGCTACTGGGCAGATTCACCCCTTCCAAGCTCTGGTTGAACCGGTTCCCGAATGTCAGGCTCCTCATGCCGTTGGGCAAGCCAACTCCCCGTAAGCTTTGATTGAACCTGTCCCCAAAGCTAAGGCTCTGCAAGCCGCTGGGCAGTGCCACGCCCTGCAAGGGGTGGTTGAAGTCGCAGCCAAGGACAAGACTTTCCAAGGTGCTCGGCAGAGTTACGTCCAAGCGCTGGTTGAAGGCGTGTCCGAAGGTCAAGCTCTGCAAGGTCATCGGCAAACCCAAGGTCGCCAGAACGCCCCAGGTGGGTCTTTCCCAGGTTAACGCCCGGACGCCTTCCAAAGCGTTTTCTTCGGATAGCTCCTGAAAATGCAGCAGGTGCCACGCGAGCAGCGCATTGCCTTGGTTGACGTCGGAGGGGTAGCAAAAAAAAAGCCGTCAAGTGGTTGGATTTCAACCACTAAACCACAATAAGCAAAAATGTAAAAATGGTTCCCAACAACAACCATGCAAATGGCAGACTAAATGTGCTTTGGCCATCAAGGCATCACACGTGGCTCTTTCTTTCTGCCGCATGGAGATTTCATGGACTGAGCAAGTGATCTCATGACTGACAAGCAGGAAACCGGAGGCCTGTCGCCTCAAAACGCTGAGCCAATGCGTCGTGTTTCCCTGGTGGTACACGAACATGCCGCTGGCCCACGACAGGTGCTGCTCCCGAAGCCTTCGGCGCAAATCCAGCGCTTTGCCGCCGAAGCTGAGGTGGAGCGCGCCGGTCCGCGGCAGCTGGGACCGCACCTTGGGTGACTTTCGAGGAGCCAAAATGCTTCAATTTCAGCAGTGAAGTGGTTGGATTTCAATCACTAAACCACCATAAGCTCACAACAACGAAGAACACCAACAATGTAAAATGTAAAATGTTGCCTAGTGTTGCTGTTGTTTCCCACTAAACTCAAAATGTTAGCAGTTAAGTGGTTGGATTTCAACCACCAAACCACCGATAAGCAAACATGTAAAAAATGGTTTCCCAACAACCACCAGGTCACCAGGCCCAGCACCTCGCAGCCCAGCAGCTCGCCGCTCACCGAGAGCTTCAGTTCCTGGCCGTTGAGGCCGAAGATCCGCAGCTCCATGGCGTCCATGGCCAGGGAGTGGTCAGTCGGTCGCAAAGGCTATCGCCCGAATCAATTCCTCCCTGGCGTCCCTTGTTGAGGGTCAGGTCAGGTGGCGCCTAAAAAGGCGGCGGCTCTACCCGGTTCATATATTGAATTAAAACTAACTAACTTATTGATTGAGTGAAATAAATTATACCTGGAGCTGATTGAGTAAACTCAATTGAAATGATTGAGCAAATTACTTGAGTTACAACTAATATATTGTTGTGCAATGTAATTTTAAACTAATTGAGTAAACTAGTTTGATGCGACCGGGAAGCTCTATAAATCAACCGGGGCCGTGAGCACTTGAACACCCGAAACACCTGTTGCAGCATAATGTTGGGCATCCAAGCAAACGCTACAAGACACATTCTAGTCATTCTGGTCCCCAAAGGCTTCAAGAAAATCCAACATCAGCTTGCCATGGCCCATGGACCAACAAGCAAACGGCGGAAACCGAATTGCCCAATTACACACACACATCCACCAAAACAAGGAGCATGTTTGAAACACATGGAGCAGGAATCGAAGCCTAGACAAATCCCTCTGCATTTGTCTTACAATTCCGAGATCCGTACGAACTTATTAATTAGTTCTAGTTAGTTTTAACTCAATGGATTTACTCAGTTATAAAGTCTTAACTCCATCAGTCTTGCCCATCAGGATTGAGCTCCCGGCTTTGCAGGTGCTGGCACGCCCCGGCGCTGGGCCTCCGGATCGCTTCGGAGGATAAAACATGTTCGGGATTCGAGAGACGGCATTTGGCAGTGGGTCAAAAAAAGGGCAACCCCAAAATGGCAAGCGCCCTGGTAAATGGACCCAAGGACTAAAACCTGCGGTCCAATTCCTGGCTTAGTTTTGACCCATACCCATTTCAGAGTCTCACTTGAGTGGGCAAACAACGGTCTGTACGGTATATTTGCCAGTTGCAGGTCCTCCCAAAAAGTGTAAAGTCCAGGAACTCAGGGAGAGGCGTCTTTTGAAGGAGCACTCAATTGGGATGGACATCTAGGAGAAGCTTTTTGTGAGATGTTGGCCCAGAACAACAGAAGGCAAACCAGAGTTATTGAGAATATGTATATATATATATATATATATGATATGTATAATAATATATATATATGTATAAAATGGGCTTGGTCCCAACACTGTGGGTCACCCTTCCACTTGAGCCTCGATAAAGTCCATGATGCAAGCCTCTGCACCCACCTGGCAGCGGATTCTTCTGAAAAAATCAGGGCCCGGACCCGACATCGATGCATGCTTGGTTGCTGACACATAAACAATGTTCCATATTGTTTCATGAGTTTCTTCAGGAAACCTTAGGGCAGAGCCCACGTTCAAAAGGGAAAGAGTGACGCCCAGCTTTTTGTGCTGTGTGTCTTGGTTGCTGCAACGACCCCTCTGCAAAAAGTTTTCCACTTTTTGTGGATGTAGTACGGAAAACCCGACTTGATTTCAACCAAAAAGTTAAAGTGTAAAGATCCAAGCCAATAGCAATCAAGCATGGGGATTCATGCCGACCCGCCACCAATTTTGAGGTTCCAACTCTGAAAACTCCGAGTCCTGCAGAAAATGCCTCGAGATCACGCGGAGATGGGAAATAGGGTAGCCCAGGGACATTCGACCCGGCGAAGCAAGTTAACTTAGGGAAACCGAGGCCAAGTTGACCCTTCATTTGCTTAAGTCTCCTGGGAAAAGAACAACAACACATATTTCCAGTTGTGACACCTGCACTTTAGAACCAACAGGGCGAAAAACACAAACATATTCATTTCAGCAAATGGAAGTGGCCAAACCAAACCACGGCTGAGCCTGTCGCATCTGCCCAGCAACCGCTGCATCATGTGCTCGGATCTCCTGGCGGCGCCCGACGCCAGGGAATTTTTGGGCTTGGCTAGAAGAAGCTTCCTCTTGGTGGTCACTTGTTTAATTGTCCCTTGTGATTTGTTTTTTAGAAATGGTGTCTCAAGCTTCAGGGCACCTCAAAGCCATTTTCTATTTGGAAGCTTGGACCTCTTATGGGTTGACGTTGGAAGGGGAGCAACAAAAAATCAGTCTTAGCAGTTCAGTGATTGGAGTTCAACCACTGAACCACAATAAGCAAAAATGCAAAATGTTTGCCAACAACAACCATGTCTTGGTGTCTCTTTCTTCAGGGTACATCAAAGCCTCTGAATGGAAGTTCTGAGGGGAAACTGAGAATCTGATTCGAACTTCGACTAGCAACGGTCATCGGATTAACAACCTGGTGGGTGAAGGGTGAAGGATCCCCTTGAACTGCTTGATTTCGAGAGGAAAGTAAAAGGCCAATTCCAAAAGGGGTCCACGAAAAAAGGACACACCCACATAGGCCATACTCTCTATCAAAACCAGGTAGATCCTATTAAAATGCCATTGCAGCGCTGCAACTGGTTGTCAAGCAGCTCTGAGAAATCATGTAGCCTAAGCCGCATTCCTGCCGCAAAGTCTGTGTCCTGCCTGATTCCAATCAGGGCACCACTGCTAACAATGGAGAATCCGTTCACGACGCATGTCAATTAATGTGCTCGCCAGAGTCTAACCTGTCAAGCGGCTGCTTCCCAGGTGCCATGTTTCTCAATATAAGTTTGCAAGTTGTGGAACTCCCCAAAAGATTTCCCCTCGAAACAATCCAAACCGAAGTGCCCTCAAAATGACACACTCAAATTGCTTCGTCTCCTTATAAGGGCACCCCCAACTAAATGATGTCCACGTGGTTTCCATTTAAAACCGCCAAATGCGCCCATTACCTCCCCAAAAACAAAGACACACACACAGAAAAGTCTCCTGGTACACCTTCAGCGTCGTCATTGAGAGACGCCGCCATTCATCAGCAAGCGCCACCTGCAGGTCGCCCGCCCCGTGTTGCACAACTGCCAAAAAGAGACAGGAACTACTTCGAAAGCGGCGGTTTGGTGCAACCCCGGCAGAAGCCTTGGGCTAGCCATTCTGTCCATACAGAACAGCCACTCTCGTTCTCTGCCAGAAATTCTAGCTGGAGACCTTTTTTTGAAAAGGGAGCTTGTCGAGAAAGGCACTCGAATCATGCGACGCTGAAGCCAAACAGGAGGCCCTAGATGTTCCGTTTGAATGTCACTGGATACTCACTTTAACTTGGCCCACATGCTTAAAACCGGCAAAGGGGATGCTGTAGATGGACGAAATCCTGCACCACTTTTAGACCATGGGCAAACCGTTGTTTGTTGGTACTTGCAGGGGAATCGAATCCTTCCATGGCTTCTGAACGCTGGTGCGATTTCTGGATTTCGCAGCCATCCACCGTATGATTGAGCACCCGTTCCCTTTTCTTGGTTGACGTTGGAGGGGTAGCAAAAAACACATTTTTTCAGCAGTCAAGTGGTTGAAATCCTCAACCACTAAACCACAATAAGCAAACATGTAAAAAACATTTCCCAACAACCGTGTTTTGGGGCGGAAGCACTCGCTGAGAAACCTCGGCATCCACCAGCAGCGAAGGCTCCGCAGGCTCCGAAGGCTCCGAAGGCTCCGCCGCGCCGCGGCAGGCCACGCAGAGAAGGTGACTCAGCTGACCCGTTTTGCAGTGGCTTCTGGATTCGGTAAGGGTGGATCAATACTCCATGTAGGACATTTAAGCCTGGGTGGGCAAAGGTTTGCACCGGACATGAATACTCTTAGGACAAAAACCTGGGTGGGCCAAGTCCGGCACTGAACGTGAATATGATATGATCAACAAACAACCCCAACTACTGGATTTTGATCCCATACACCCTCAAAAAGTGGTGGGTATAAATGCTGGGCTCCACGTCTTTCCTACGGGGTCAAAGGGGCTATGGCTAACCCTCCAGGTCCATTGAGCGCCCTTTTGCTTTTCCTGCACCTGCAAAGTAAAGGACGGAGCCTAAAGAAAAGATCCTTCCCCCAAAAGAAGGCTGTTTTTATGCATTTTGGGGGTTCAGGGGAATCTGAACTTGCTTTCGTTCTCTACGGCGGGATCATGGGTCCCTATGTTGGAGCGGGTGTCTTTTCGCGAGGGAACGCTTTGGGGTACGGCAAAGGTGAAATGGCAAACACCTGTTGTCAATTCCTGTGTCCCATAAGACCTGTCCATGCCGTTCATACTTTTTTGCTTGGCAAACTTACAAGAGGGTTTCCATTCCCCCCAAACCACTACCCCGAAAGGAACACAAGGAAGGGTATACCCACTGTCCCTAAGGCTTTGGGGATAGCGGAAATTCTCGAAACCAACCCATCACTAAGGCCCAAGCCTGACGCTGGCTTGCATGAGTTCCAAGACCTCCTGGCAAAACAGAGAGTTTTAAACCAAATCTGTCACGCTCTTTGGAGCCCTGGAGGGAGTGCGACAAAGAGGTGCTATATCCAATGTGTCTATCAATTGGGAATAGCCCCTAAATGGTGGGTGGACGCGAAATGCAGGGCCAAGATTCCCAAGATACCAAAAGTGCCAAAAGTTCGAAACGTGCGACCGGTGCCAAAGTGCCCTGGTCTCATCAGGGATGATATATCAATGGCCTGGTGTTGTTTGGCTCGGAAACAAGGCCGAAAGGGGCTCACGGGAGCTTGACCAGGTCACGGCTGCATTTAGATAGACGTGACGAAGCGGTGGCTATCTGCTCCATTGCAGTGAGGCAGGCGGCTCACAGTAAAAGATTTGAAATTGATTTGGGTTTGATTGCGGTTGTTTTGGGGTCTGGTTTTTGAAAGATTGGGATTGGTAAAGGGGCAATGATGGCCAGAACAATGGTCACAAAAAAAAAGGCATAATATAGGGGAGGCGGAGGGATCGGTGTCGCTGGTTGTGGCTGCTGGCGCTGGGCAAAGCTGCTGCTTCCAAGCGCTGCTGCAGCCAGTGCCTGGCCGGCAATCAAACATTGTGACACAGCTTGGTCCGCAGGATTAGTCAACCTCACCAATTCCCCTCACCCCTAATTCAATGATCTTCTCAGTCAAATCAAATGCTATTTGAGGTATTGGATGTTTAAGGTACTTTTGCCTGAACCCATGTTCAATGATCTTCCCAAATGAAATGCTGTTTGAGGTGTTGGGTTGTTTAAGGTAGTTTTTCACCAGCCCTTTCTCCACACAGCTGAGGTGCTTTTGTGCGTTGCTGGGTTGCTGCAGCAGCTTTCCCAAAGTTCCTTGGCATATTTTAGTGCTGACTGACATTTGGCAATGATGAGGCATTTCAATGCAACATTTGACTGGGTACTACAAGGGCAGTGCAATCTACACCACTGAACATGTTTCAGCCTGATCCCCGCCCTAGGTTGTGGCTTCGGTGGCTGCTGTTTGCAGCTTGGGCTGGCCTTGGCAGGCATGAGGAATGGGCAGGGGCCAAAGGGTTCAGAAACAAGTGTGCTGAACAACTGATTTCAGAGAAAGGTTGATGGAATTTTCGCAGCTGCGTTTGCAGCCAAGCCTAGATTTGGTTTTGGGGTGGGGTGGTTAGGGGTCAGCAATGGAGCTGCCTCCTGATGATGATGGCCCAGTCATTCAGTCCTCTGCTGACATCATGAATCTCACACACCAGTTGGTGCCGGGCCCTGGGCTGACAACACCAGCTCGAAAGCGCCAGCCATCCTTGGATGAGTCTTTGTCATTTGCCTATAATTGAAAAAGTGTTTGCTCCGTTTCAGTTGTTGTTGCTCTGGTTTTCTGGCATCCGATTGTTTCTGTATGTTTTTTGTGGGCCCAAGAATCCTTGCCAGCCTGTCTTGCAATGCCAAGGCAACCTTCAACAGAAAAGCCCTGGAAGTGCTGTGCGAAGCTGTGTGTCCACAATTTCAAGGCGAACTCCAGCAGGGTGAAAAGCATGGAGGACAATGACTTGTTGTTTATTTTGTGGTAACTGTTTACAAAAAAGGGTTGGTGCCTAAGTGTAAAACCCTGTTTGTGTCGAACAACACCCCAGGACATCCGGGAAAAAATGAAGGGCTTCACCCAGTCTGAGATGAACACGTTCATCCTTGGTGTTCTGGGAAAGCTGGTGGGAGAGGATCCTTCTGAAGAGGAATCTGGGCATGCACCTGTACTGTTTGCTGGTGTTTTTCCAAAACCAACATTGACTTCATCAGATTCTGCTGATTTCTTTGTGCAATGCTGAGGACATCATCCACATGAAGTATGCGCTATGTGGCTTCCAGCTCTGCTTGCGTGCTTTTTGTGCTTTATTGGGGGTGAACGAGAAGCGGGCTGCTTGATATCATTCAGCTGGCAGAATGTTTTTTAGTGGAGCAGTGCTACAAATTCCCAAAGTCACATTCGACCCAACATTCCATCCCTGTTCCCTCTGCAGGTTCACAGGTTGCTGGCAGGGCTGAAGACCAACATTGTCCCGGTTGACCAGCGGAAGTACAATGGTCGATCTGCCTCGAAAAGCCCAAGTTGTGACAGCTTTTTCAATTACTTCTATTGGAACATGGTGGCCTGTCACTGATAGTCCTCATTTTAGTCTCTCAAAATGGTTGATGACAATGTTGGCAACCTCAATTAAGTCAATTATGTTTGCTTGTTGTTCTTACTTTTTGAAAAGATGGAATTCCAGGCGGAGCCGCTAGCAGAGACACCTCCAATCGAACACCTGCAGGGTGCAGCTCTGTGTGCTTCGGGGATTTTCTTGCCTGGCCACTCTGCAACCAATCATGGAATACTTTTTATGTTAGTATTCAATGAATGTATTTTATCACTGGGAACCATTACCCACTGAATGCCCAGGAGAGGCTTCATCGGACATGCCTCAGTCCCTCTTCGGCGAGCCTGCTGTGCTGTCGGAGGTGTCCTTGGCTGGGTCCAGTGCGGTAGCAGCATGTGGGCTGCTTGCAATGGGAGATGGTGAGAAACGTGTCTTAGCAAGACTTGGAACTGCTTTCTTTACACGCTTGAAACACATCATACTTTTCAGGCTCTTGAGAAAATGCTACCAATCATACCCTTTTTAAGAGGCTTTAGTTTTGTCTTTGAATTGAATCAGACCCTTGAGCTAGGCCTTGAGCCACGGTTTGTTAATCACAGCACCATTGACGCCTTCTATGAGTTGTACTTGCTTTGGGCAGAAGGGGCTGCATTGCCAGAGGGTGAGATTGCATCCTGCCGAACTTTCCGCAATGTGTATGAGGAGCAGTGGAAAGAAACCTTGAAGATGAGAACTGTGTCACAACATGCCAGGTGTGGGTTGGAAATGGGTCTGGACTTTATTTACCTTGTTGATGAAATGCAACAACATGCATTTTTGTTGTTGTGTTTGGCAACAGTCGCTGTGAACTGTGTCACCAACCAGCAACCAAAGAATGGCCAGGTGCAGTGTGTGTGCAGAGTTCAGTGCGCGTATCAGAAAAGCATCTACCGCAGCAGACCGGAATGCCATTGAGGAGAGGCAGAAAGAGCATGTCAAAAACATCAAGCAATACAGGTTGATCCAGAATCGCCTCAACGTCCTTTCTGAATCGGCGACCTCATCGAAGAGCCCTGGAACTACTTCAATTTTGAAAATTGATGTAGATGCCCTGGATCAACAGAAGACAAGATGGCCAAGGAACCTGGCATCGAGCAAGGCCCTCTCTTCATTGTGGCGACCCCAAACCTCATTAGTTGGAGTCATTGTGTGGGGAGTGCTTTTGTCTGCAAATTGGGCTTGGTGTGGTACTGCTGTTGGCAAGTGGGTCATCTAATTGCTTCCTGATCACCTGCAACATCAGGTACTGGAAGGGTACTTTGTCCTGATGCCAGACCAGGCCAAGGATTCCAGCAATGAGGTGACAATTCTCTTGAGAGCCATTGACTGGGCCGAGGGGGAGCTAGCCCGAAAAGGGCTAGCCCTCCCGGAACATTTGGTGATTGAGGCACGAATGTTTAACCTGGGAAAGTTTGGCATCAATTTTGAAAATGGTTCTGTTGAAAGATGATGAAACAGACGTGCGCTCCAAGTCTCAAACCCTGATAGACTGATAACTGTCCTCGTGAAGGGAAAAATCAGACCATGGCGAAGCTAAGTGGGTTGGCAATCATTCGAAACCGGTGCATTGCTGCAAATGAGTTGTTTTGGTGATTTTCTTGACTCAGGGTATTCTTCCATGTTGCAACAAACTCGTGCTTAGTAAGTCAGTGCGTGTTCCCCAGCCTAGGTTCCGATCAATCACCCATATTTATGGAGAAGTTGGACATACCCATGGACCGGTTGATCAGCGACTAGGAGCAGCAGCAGCTACCTTCAATGCCCAGTCTGTCATAGAAACCCCAGAAGACACTTGGAGCTGTATGCTTATTGATGGGCATCTTGTACTTTGGGGCTGTTCTTATTGTTTGCTGGTGTAAACCCAGGATTTCGTCCGCATCCTCAGGGAAGAGTTCAAGCCAATTCGAGGAAGGTTGCTGAAAGTGGAACTCCTTGAAGGGGCCCTCAACTTCAAGGAGTACCTCAACCAACTCACAGTGGAAATCGGAGGCCTGGTTACTACACACTGGGAGACAGCAGATGCAAATCACTGCTGGCGATTCATTCGCAGAAGTGAGCCTCATCTCAAATGATGTTTTGTTCCATATTTCTATGGGTCTGGCAGGGAAAACCTTACTTCTTTGTGTAAAGCAAATGGTTCCTGATTGTAGCAATCAACTATGGACATCAGGACCTGCCCTTGTATGACGACAAGACACAGGAATCCTGGGCACCTGTTGAGATACCTGGTGACACTTTGCTAGCAAAGCAGTTGTGTGTGTGTGAAGTGTGTGTTGTGCTAGACAATCTACAAAGTAAGTGTTGTTCAGTCTGGTGTGCTGCATTGTGGGCATCTGACTTGAGGAAAACTACACTCATTCCCCAGAAGACTGCGTGCTCCTGGTGAAACACCTGGTGAACTCTGAGAGTTTGTCCCAACATCCTTTGATCCTATTGCCTGCTGCGTTTGGGGAGTACCTCAAGAAGCCTCTCACCACCTTACCCAGGAATTTGATTGCTGATCGTGCCAAGAAGGAGTCCTTTGACTTGCAATGAGAAAGTAATTGTCTTTAATCTTTGATTTGTGTATGGTTTCCCTCACCCCATACAGAACTTAGCTTTAGCCCTGCCTTTGTGCCCAGGTTTTTGCGCACAGCGTGTGCCGTGGAGAAGGAGCCTTGGGACCTACATCGGGCTGCAGCTGCCTTGAGGGCGTGGGTGGACCCTTTCCATAAATTGGCAAGCTTTTAATGTTTCTGCAAGCATGTTTTCCAAAATATGCTCAATGAAATATACTTGGTTGTCCTTTCAAATGGCATTGCCCCACTATCCAGCAAAGGGTGCCAATG